ATCTTACACAGAAATATTGATTTGTGTTTTTATTTAATCAAGATTGCACTGACATGCTAAAAGGCTTTAATATGTACAGAAACTATTTCTTCTACATCAGCTCATGACACTCATAATCTTACAATCTGCAAATTGCATTGGCTTATAGTGAAGTTTAGAGTGGACTTTAAGATTGTTCTGGTTTCACATAAGACACTGAACTACACATCTCAGGGTCTTGCTTGATAATACTCTGCATCTGAAATCTGCTGATACAGGCTTTTAAGTTCTGCCAAAGACCAGGATCCACACAATAAACTAAAGCCTCCTCATGTGCTACATCATAACTGTAGAGCTCCCTTTCCAAAAACGTTAGGGATTCTGTGACTGTTTTAAAAACCCATCTACTCACTACAGCTGTTTACAGTGAACTCAGCTTTACTCCTAGTTTTACTGGGTCCATATGCTGTGCTTTTCCTTACTCTTTATATTTCTGTTATGCGAATTACACATGTAAAAAAACACAGAGGTTCTTGAAGATAAAATGTAAGATTATATCATCTGTAGAAACGGGGTTCTGTTTTGAATATGCTTAGTTGTTATTTCTGTAAAAGCATTCAAAAAATTAATAAGTTAGAAGAGTGATGTAGAAGACTGAATTTGTATTTCAAACGTTGGGTTTTCTAAGCTTTGGTGAGAAGAAGAGTGAATTCGAAAAGTATGTAGTATAGAAACTGTACTTGCACTTGATATTTAACTACTGTTTTTATCCTCTTTACAGTGATTACCTTTGTTTAATAGTGGAAGTTGTTTAAAGTACTTGTCAAAGTGCCTGAAGTCCACTTACAGCCTGCAAATATGCTGTTGGGGGACCTAGCTAGCTAGAGAGGCACTTACACTGGCTGTCATCAGCCTAGTGGAGAGCCCATTCCTGCTGTGGTCTAGAATAACTCTAGGTGGAGGACATAAATATAGCCCATACAACTGCAGATAGTCCATCCCTGGTGATGTTGGTATACTGATGTTTAATTGTGTGTTTCCTTCATGGGTAGTGCTTAATTCTACTTTCTTGAAGCAAAGACTTCTATTTTCCGCTGATATACTAGTAATTTCATATTCAACTGTAATCTCTAGGTTTAAGTGAAACAATGAACTGTAAATATCAAGCTTCTTTGTGAAGCCTTGTGGAAGGGCAAGCAATGGCTAGGAATTTCCCAAAGGAAGTAGGAGTAACAGACATGCCTTATTAGTGAATTCCTGAACAATTTATGAGCTGTCACTGGGTGATACTGCCCATTAAAGGGAGTGACTGTGCTTATAGGTCATTTCATTTCAGTATCACTGCATAAAACGCTGACATGGGCTCAGCAAGAAAAATACACCTAACCCCAGTTCCTGACTTCCTGCAGCTTGTATGCTGACCTCAAAGAGCTGCTGACTGTAATATAGGATGGATGACATATTTGCGGCCAGGCCTGCACGAATCGACCCATTTGTGTATTTCCCAAGGCGGGTGAGAGATGAGGAGTGTACGGAACAGAATTGGAAATCTGCCTGGCTAGATCTTAGCAAAGCAACTCCTGTATTACTCACCCTGAGGGAATAATCAGGGTTGAGAAGTGTTCTGGCTCTCGGACACCAAGGGCACTCGATTGGCAGACAAACCTCATTCATGAAGTTTAGGGGATAGAAAGAAAGAGCCTGTCTCTCATATCATTAGCAGATCTCCTAAGGGTGAAATAGAGAATCGGTGAAAGGTAACAGTCTGCTTTTTATTAGGCTTGCAGGAGATTAAGAACTGAGCAAAAGACCTGACTCCGGTCATTACCCCCAAACCTCTCATTCTCCAGGGAAAGGTCAGATCTGATCGACCTCATCTAAATGTTTGGAATGTCTCATTTTCAAAATATCAAATTTGTGAAATACTCAGACATTTCATTGTTTAATTTCTTATGAGCTTTAAAATATCCAACAGCTCAAGCTGTCCGTGCAAGTTCTATTTCAACAACTATTTGTCTTTTTTTTTCATTAAAGTCTATAATGAAAACTACATTTTCATTATTACTGTGTGTTATTTAGCAAAAGAATCAAGGAATGTGGAATTTGAAAAAAAATAGTTTGCATTTCCAAACAGGCAATTTTAGCTAAATGGTATTTTCATTCAATATTTTTTATGTATGAAAACCATATGGAATTCATGTTTTTCCCGTCAAAGCTGTAATTGTGGTTTTTCCAGTGAATTTCAATCCCATTTCCTTCTGACTCTGGTAGAGATGCCACTGGGAAGTTTCCTGACTTCCCTGACGCTGAAGATGGAGGATCGGCTGCAATATTTGCTGAGAAAACACCAGAACAGGTAAAATTGCAACTTCATTTCACATCATCCTGAAAAAAAAAGAATTAAAAAACAAGCTCATTTTATCCATATAGTTTTAACATAACATGGTTTGCAGTAATTTATGATGATGCTTATCATGTCTCTCTTCAATAAAGTGCTTGGTTAAGCTGATCAATGCTCTAATATGGTTCTCAAGACTGTAACCAAAAGCTGACAATTTATGCAGTGTGCTCAAAATTGATTTTTTGTAGAAGGTACTAAAGAAACAGAAGATTCCACAACAGACAGTTCATGTGCACAATGATTCCTTTATAATGCATCATATTAAGACTGCAGCTTGTCCAGAATCTATCAAAAAAGGACTGATCCATAAGCACAGACCCTACTTGAAGTGCATTATATCTAATCCCAGCTAAAAAAAGGAAGCTGCTTTTTGAACTGCCAGAACACCTTTTCTGAATAACAAAAATCTACTCACCATTACAGTTGCACAATCTATTTATAGTGTTGAGAACATAGAACACATTGCATATTTTTTAGCTTTCAGGACTAAAGTCTTATTAAGTTTGTGTTCCTGAAAGCTTTCAACATACTTTACAGTAATTTATGGTGCCGTTTATCATGTCTCTTTTCAATAACAAGCTTGGTTAAGCGGATCGATGTTCTGATATGGTTCTCAAGGCTGTAACCAGCACAAGTTGTCTTCTTTCTTTGCAGAAAATAAGCCCCTCTATCTCTCGGAATTGTTACAAATCACTGCCTGTTCTGTGTTGGTCGTTACAAGGTCTGTAAGGCATAAGCATGAATGAGTGATTGAGTCTCAGGCTGGCTGGCCGCTTGATTTATTGACTGATCGATTCATGAGCTGATCGACTGATCTACTGTGTGTGCGGCTGGTTATACCTTTGAAGGTGGCAGCAGAGTTGGCAGCGAAAGAGGAAGAGAAGGACAAGAAAAATAAAAGCAAAGGGAAGAAAGACAAAAAGTCTGGAAAGAAGGAGAAGGGGAAAACGAAAGACAAGAAGGGAAAGTCGAAAGGGAAGAAAGGCAAAGGAGATGCAGAGGTGAGAGTGTCACATATTCCCTTCAGAACTGACTGGAGAACAGCTTGAGTTATTTAAATTGAACATCAGGAAGGGCTATGCACTGCATATTATTTTAATCCCATCAGGTAGACTGTGGTTTTTAGGGATTCCACTGGCCAGCGGCATAGTAGGAGCAGTTTATTTTCTTTTGCAGCAGAATGTTCTTGGGTTTACACACTGCATGCCAAACAGTCCCGTGATTGATTGGGTTTTCCTTGTTGACATTCCTTCTCTTTAGTCACATCATCCACGCCATCTTATCTCTTTTTTTTCCCCAGTCACGTGCTTTTTGTATTACCGCCTCATTGGAAATCTGTTTGGCATGACTATCTTTACCCCACTGTGTAAGAAATAGAAGTCAGTCCTTATGGAATAAGATGTCTCGTTCTGCAGCACCTGTGAAACAAGAAAATAAACTATTTAACGTCTACAAATGAAACTAATCCTTAGTCATCTTTTGATGAAGATAACCCTTGCTATGATATTATGCCCTTATAATATTCTCTTATAGTCATTCTCTAGCAATGCAAAGCCGTTTTGGGAAGCAACTTGAGGCACATTTGCTTTCAGTAATATAATAAGCATCGCAAATGCTTCATAAATGTTTTTGTGTAGGTGCTGTACTACTATACATCATATGCAACACTCAGTTGCTTCACTTACTAAAGAAAATTCCTACATTTTATAGATTAGTACTTTCTTCTTATAACATAATTGTATTTATACTGTACATGGAAACACTGCGGTGAAATAAAAAACTCACATTGTAATTTAGCTATGAGATTCCCAAAAGATAAACCAAGAAACCTGTACTTTTAAAAAGAATGAAACAAGCAAAGTCCCATTTTCATAAACAAAACAATTTACCTTTATTATCCTATATTTTAAAATTCACTAATGTGTAATTTGTATGACTGTCAACAATTAGTTATCAGCCTTCTTCCTCAAATTAAACTGAGGCTCATGTAGATGCAGAGGAACCCTTACGACACAACAAATGCATTAAAATACTTCTGGACTGATTGTAAAATTAAACGATACACTTAATTACTCATGATAGACTCGCATTGATGGTGGGGCATTTGAGTCAAGTTAGTTTTTAGTGCCACCAGTATGCTGTTCACAATGTGACCATTGTAAGAACTTCTTCATGTGCTCCATTTTGACCGAAGACATATGCTTTTGCTTTGGAAAGAAAGAAAAAACTGAGCAAATGTAGTATGAGGATGACTAGATTCTGATTACAAATGCCACCTGAGTTCAGGTCTTTGTAAAAGGACTGGCTTAACCAACATTATGGATATGCCAGGTGCTCTCTGAGTTAAAGGTCTGTCATAATAAAATTAGCTTGACAGCTATCCTAAATCATACATGTGGTGGCAGTGAATTAAGGGATCTATATTCCTCTGGTCGACATGTTATGACTGCCAGGATTTACATAAAAGGTATAAATTACACATGGGCAGCAATATTGAATGACTTCAATTAGGTGTACTAGAATGGAGCCATTGTTCGTACTGACTGTGATGCAGAGTAACTAATCACTTCCTTTTTTTAATACGCATGGTAAAAAATGTCACACAACAGTTGCTACCAGTGATCCCAGACTTTCTTGTTAAGTTTCCTTGGACTAATGTCAAAAGCTTTGTTTTTTCCTTCTAATTTCTTGAAAGTATTTTTTGCTCGTGAGCAATTTGAACCCCTTTGCATCTTGGGTCAACTGCAAGGAAAAGCCTCAGCGGATAAAAATAAAGCAAATGACCTTTAATTGCTCATGGAAAATAATAATAACAACTGGAAAATAATGCATAATAATGTGTACCAGATGAGGATGGAATGTGAAGTAGCTGTTCATGTGCAAAATAGTGGAAATCTATTTCAATTCGAAATCATGGATCGAACACTGACTTTTCTTAACTAAAAGTGGACAGTGCAAACAACAGGAAAGCACTATATATTTTTAGAAATGTTGTGTGCCATACATGTTTTTTAAGTGCATTTTTCAAGTGGCTCTGAACTCTTTAAAAGCTTTATAGAACATGACTGTTTGAAAAGATCTACCTATCAGATGCTACCGCATCAGTCTTTGAAATATATTTACAAACCTTAAGACCCTTTAAATCCCCATAGGAAGCCGTTTCAGCACCTATGTGTTTTGAATATAGGGCCCATTGTCTCAGAGAATTAAAGATCCTTGGCTTTACTGGAAAAGGAATTTGTCCACAGAAAAAGACCTTAAACTGAACTTTGCGGCCTCGTTGAGGTGACATTCGTAAACCTCCCTTCTGCAGTGGTTGTCACGGTTTCCTGCTGGGAAGCCTGAGCTCCAGCTGCAGATGGTGTCAGTGATGCACCAGGGGATCTGACAGGAGAGGGGAATCCTGGAGCAGACAGGAAGGGAGGGGATGAGACATGGCATCAGTGACGGCATGAGGAGTCGGCCCTCGTGCTTTCTGGGAAAACATGAAATCCAAATATAACTTATTGGAAAACAGCGTAGGAAAAGAATACATGCAAAGTAACGTCAAAGCATTTTTTTGTCATTACGCAGTCTGGGCACTTTTCAACATAGAAATCCATGTATTGAAAATGCTATCACATCTGTATCTGTCACAAGCACAGTATGAAGGGTGTGCTTCAAAGATATGTGATGTTGAATTGATGTTTTAATTTTCATGTTCCGTATTAGTGATAGAAAACACCTGAATATGAACACTTTTTCTGTGTCTGCTTTTGTTTAAGAAAAGTAAACACTGATGTGATTGATATGTTATTCCATTTGGGACTGACATTTTTATAGTGCTGACCAGACAAAGAGATAAAACTTTTATTCATCCTGTACAGGGAGCTGCAAATCCCTGAGCTCCCAAATATGTGTTTCAAGACTATATAAGTCTTTTAAACTGCCTGGTAAGTCTGCTAAAGACATTAATTTGGTTTACCTGGAGAATAGTAGTTTATCAAGTAAGTGTATTGAAACAATAAAAAATACATTCTTAAGTAGGCGAGAGAAATGAAAAGCTATGTAAGGACAACATTAGAACTGAGAATAATAGCAATCACACTCATTGCTCTGTCTGTCTCTACTGTTGATTTCACCACCATACTACAGTAAATTACAAGTCCTACATGTATTCCCTAAGCTAGTCTTTCATTTCAATAATTTAATTTAATCTAAATTGATTTTACTTCATTTTAATTGATTGCAGTTCTTCCTTTATATAATAGCTGCACGGAAATAAATATTGTGCTGAAATCCTGCCTCCTAGTCTTAGGAGCTCAGTCTTGATCACCGTTTTTCTTCAGGACTGTAATCTCAATAAACTAGAATAAGATAATAAGTGAACCAGGGAGTGCTTCATTGATCACTGTCTATGAAGTGTCTGGGGGCCCATGATTTTGTCTTCAACCTTTTCTCTTCTTGGGTTATTACTTTTGAATTTACAGGAGGAAGAGGAAGGTTGGAAAATGGCCCCTAGCAACTTCCTCCCCACAATGACAGAAGGAAGCAAAACATACAGAGGTCAGTATTTCAGTATCTGGAGATACCAGCTATGGTGTTCATAGTATTCCCCATTGCGGGTGATAAATTCAATCTCAATGTGCCGCAGGCGATTGAGCCTGCTAGTTTACTGTTCACTGTGGCCAAAGTAAATAGGAAGGATGAAGACAGCTTGCACCTGTGTTGTGCACCAGCCCTTCTGTATGATTTACAGGAGGGGTGAGCACTGGGCTGTGCAGGCTTAGAGGGGCTTGGAGAAAGTGCATAGCCTAAAAATACAGGGAGACCCGTCCGTGGCCTGTGAGCTCCCTGCAATGAGATTATAGCCTGAACCACTTGGTCTGATCTCATGGATCTTCCATATCTGTGGCCTAAAGTGCCGGGCATCACCATAAAGATATATTTGACCATTCACTCTCCCTTTTCTCTCCACTGGGGTGATATCCAAATTATATTTTTGGAATTAGTTTCATAGAACCGTTAGATTAAATGTGTCCAAGAAAAATATTTTGAAATTGTTTTTTACCTAGTGCTGGCACTGAAAAATACTAACTGGTCCATGAACTGGGGAACATGGGATGATACAGAAGAGGCCTGGAGAGCAGTCTGGGAAATCCCCCACAGTTTCATTGCCTAGGAGCCTGACCTCATAAAGCAGTGTGCCAGCATACTCGGGGGATTAGGAGAGGCTGCTTGACGGGATTTGCGTATGTAACTCAGGATGTCGGGCTGCCCTTTGTAACTCTAACTTTGATTTTTACAGACCTTTCATCTGTGCAGAAGTATATTTATTTGGATGTATTTTTTTGAATCAGTACATCGCAAATCAGCTTAATCAGTTTAATCAAAAGCACCACAGCCCAGACCCCGCATTGTGCTGATGTTTCCTTTCATTGATGCCACACAGAATAGCCTGACTCTCAGGGTGACAAATGGGAGAGAAAGCAATGGGGACAAGAGGGCCGCGGGGCCGCTAAGCCGCTTACAGTCCATTGCGCTCTGCACCACGCTGCCCCCTTGTGTTAGCTATCTGAACACGCAGTGAGCCATACTGGACTACCACAGGGCCTCCTTGGGTCTGATTGGCAAATTTGTTCTTTTTCCACTTTAAGACTCTCATGTTTACCACATCAAACCTTTAATGACTTACATTGGCTTAACAGCCTTAGGGAAAACTTTCTTCATTGTACCATCTTTGATTATACTAGCACAGAATTATGGATCGACTTTCAGTAATTGCTTTGAATAATAGTCGCTTAAGATGTTCTAAGGAGAGTAAACAAACAAGAGCTGAGGTTTTCCTTTGTCTATGACTATGTTTATGACTGTGACTGTGGCTGTTGCTGACCAGCTTGTCAGTTTGTGAAACTGTATCATTTTATATGTGTAGCACGTTCTATATTAAGGAAATAATACAGATTAAATGACTATATCACAATGTTAGAAACAGAATCATTTAAACATACCTTTAATACTGCTGAGCATATATTAAATGTAGGCAAACAAACATCAGAAACATCTGTTTTGCCTTTATTCACATTCATTAGTGTACTACAACTGTGCCTAAGGTTATTATGACAAAAACTGTTTAGAGTAAGGCTTTCCAAGAAAGCAAAAGTCTCTATGAACAGCTCTAAATGTGTTTCTCATAATGACCTTAACTCTAAATCATTAGGGTGAAACATGTTGGCCATCACTCTTGAATTTGCATATTAACCTTAATTCAGAGTTGCTGTTTAGCTTTCTTTGATGTTTCTTAGCGAAAAGGAATTTCTCATGTATACTTGTATGCATGACATGCGTGTATGTACTATACACACAGTTCAGACTATAATCTTGAGCAGCCTTATAACTTTCTATTTCAGGAGGTGACCTGATAATCTTGACAAAACCTGGATTATTTATTTCTCTTTCTTCCGCTCATTAGAATAATTTAGTCATGACAGCTCATTGGAGGCCAGCACCTCAAGGGAGGTGCTGGAAAGAGCCAAACCTCTGCATTAAATCAAGATAATGACAAGAAGGAGAAATAAATAAACCCTTTTTCACAAAAAAGCGAGAGCCCTCTTTCCTCTCCTGGACTGACCTTTGTTCACTGTGGAGGAAGCTCATGACTTTCATCTGTTTTACTGCAAGTTCTGTTGCCAATGCGGGGCATTGGAGGTAGGAAACTAGCTCCTCAGAAAAACAGAAATTAATGCCTTCTCTGTCATGAGTTGTCCTTTCTAGTTCCTTCTGTGCCTTGACAGACATACTAAAGAACTTCCCCTTTCTAACTTAAAGAGTCACTGAAAAGGCTGTCGCTTTTTATCACATTGATGTATGGTAGAGTAAAAAAATGACCAGGGTCAAGGTGCAACTGTAACATCTTATAAGTGGTTATTCTTGGTTATTATCTATATCATGAGAAAAAACTTCATTTCATATATCCATTCTCTATCACACTATACATCATGAGGAAATACATTTTTTTATGAAGATATTGTATCTTACTCAGTTGTAAAGTGAAAAAATATAAGGATTGCATTGATCACCTAGTAATAGTAATTTATCACTGAGTAATCTGTACTCAAGGGCACAACGATATTTTCTGATTAATTTATTCCATTTAGCCTGATGTTGCCAACATCCTAACTAGTCTTTTGTAGGTGCTTTGGATCCCTTTTAATTGTATGCTGGTGTGAATTCAAGGAACTTGGCAGTGTGGATGAACTAGATTGTGTACACTCTGGTCAAACTAGAGATCTTTAGCCAGTGTTCAGTTTGTCTGCCATGCTAATGAATCACTGACATTTTTAAAAATTGTATGTTTAGTACTTCACCTTTTTGGAGAGTGACTTCCATGCTTGAGCAGCATTTCTTTGGCATCAGGTTGAAATTCTGCCACCTGTTGCTTCATTAATACTGCAGCAATTCTTTTTTTCATGGTAATAAGGGCAAATGAACACATTTGCTCTCATAGAGGAAATGCCACAGAGTCCAGGCCTGCGATTTCAGGAAGGACGGTCCCAGAAATGTGGTGCCTGCTCCTGTGAAGTCCCAGCTAAAGCACGTTAAAACCACACCATTAACCTCAACCAAACATGAAAGGAAATTGACACACATCAACAATCTCAATGTTTTGAGATGTTTTTAGCATTGCCTCTCAAGTTTACTGCTGAGATGTATGTGGGATCTTGAAGGACAAAAGGATAACATGCTACTGGGTGTGATTTTTAACTTAGTATGTGATTAGTTTCTTGTCAGATACATTGTAAACATGTGTAAACTGACTTCTCACCAGTTCATGCTTAGTTGTTTGAATATTTTGCAAACTGATTGACTGGTTCCCAGATTTTAAAAGTCTGCTGTCCCTGTTCTGTCCTAATTTTCATGGGAATGTGCAAAAGCAGGCTCTTCTGGGACTTTGTTTCAAACTTTTGGGATTACTAATTAGGGTGACGTGCTATTTAAACAAGGGTTTTGCATGTAAAACTTCTTTCCCTCTTTGTTTCAAATTAACAGTGTTTTCCTTTCCTCTTAGCTCTGTATAAGAATTGTTTTATCAGGTGTCCTTAATAGGTGTATAATTACATAATGAGTTTATTAAGTATAATGATGTGTAAACCAAGCTGCAGTCTTCTTTTATTTATCCAAGCCCAATGAAAGACTGGTACAGTTCCAAAGCTTTGTTTGCTCTGTTTAAATTAAAAAAATAAAGCATTTTCCAAATTAACACTGACATTTAAGTAAATCATATTTTTTAAAAGCGAAACTAACCCTTTTTTAATTGCAGGGATTGTGCATCCCTTTTTATGGCAATTTCAAAACACCAACATTTTTTGTTATATCCAGCTGTGGAAAAAGTCCACCTTTTTGCAAAAGAGTGGTAGCCTTGCAAAAAAAGTTTTTTCCTGTGTGGCAACGTCACGGTCCATTTGCCTGAGCTGATCTTGTGTTTAATTTAAGTTTCCTGGCCAAGGTCTTTGCAATAGGAAATGTTACTTAATAGGAATCATTCTTCCTGTCAGTGTTTTGATGGTGAAAACAAGTTGTTCTGCCAGAGAGAAGAAATATGTGCACTTGCATACCAGTCTGTACTGAAATACATTCATACAATTAGGTGTCTTGGTATTCTTTAACCTGCATATACTATGCTTCTATGACATTCTTGTCTACAAATCAGGAAGATGAAGGACTACAGCTTAAGACTGATTTCTGAATAGAATAAATGTATTTGTCAATTTAAGGAATTAGTTATATTGCTTTTTTTCTGAAGGTTTCTGTGGGACCTGGCTGGTGTGTAAAAGGCTATCAAGGGTTGCATTATGTAAAAAAAGAGAAATCCCTGTCACTCTGTCTATGCTCCTGAAACAAGAATGTTTATTATATTTCTTCTTCATTGAGCTACTGTGTATGTCTGTATATGACATGGTAGCTTGGTGCCTAGTAGTTATCTCTATGTAGGTGGAGATAAAGATGAAAAATACAAAGCATTAAATATTCTGTGCCCTCTTGTACTTATTCCTTCTTTATTTTCCTGAAAAATGGGCCAAAGCCCTGGTTACCAAGGACGACCAGGAAAAAATCCCATTGATTTTCCTGAGAACAGTGGATAAAGAGACCTGGTGAATAAGTGCCCAGTCAAATGTACTGCAAAAGTGGGGACAGCAGTGCAGACTATTCAATATTCATGACCTTTCAGACATGCAAACATGGCTGAAAAATAGAGCATTTAAAACTATAGCAGGTAAATTGTATATTTGTAAAAAAATTCCAGTATCTTTCATGAGTGAGACATTGTTTAAGAACAATGTTCTAGAGATGGTAATAACAGAGTCAGCTCAGGTACTGACCCTTAGTTTTGTTGCACCCAAAATAGTCTAATCCTTGTACCTCCAAGCATCTTTATGAGCTAAAATGGTTCTGTCTTTAACAAAATATCCCAAATCCCCCAACTTTGCAGTGAAAAGCAATTAGGCATCAGAATGCCCTGAGGATGTTTTTCAAAAGTGACTTTTAGAAGTGGGTCCTGGTGAAGGCAGCTTGAATCTTGATCTCATAAACTGATCAGATTTCAAAGTGAGGTTTTAGTACGTTTATATGTTAACGTGACTGCCCTTTGATCATGTAGTAGTTCCCTTGAACCTTATTTTTGAGGAATGCTTCCGCCTCAGACATTTCATGGTATACTCTACCCTGCTGTAGAACATGTCTATAAACTTACTGTTGTGATGCAGCGATCTGATGGAGGAAGCCACATGTTACTGACAGGATGGAGAGCTGTAGCCCAGTGAAGACTCAGAGAGGGTCCCAGGCAGGCAGAGATAGCCATAGCAGGTTTGCGCACAGAGACTGGTGGAGATTTGGCGAGGCTGACCGAGGCTGATCATGATTGTGGAAGCAAGACGAAGATAGGTATAAGACAGGACTCGGAGACAAGTACAGCTTGTAGAGCAGATGCAGACAGGGTGACTGGGCCCCCGAGCAGGACTACAGGCAGGGAACCATGCCACTTGTCCATTGCTTTAGACTGCAGCTGGCTGCACAGAGGCAGAATGGGAAGGGTTTCAGGCAGGATTCAGGCAAAGTATCCTAAATCCTGCCTGAAACCTTTCTGAGGGTATTGCTGAGGGTGCTACCATTGTTGGAAGGTAGCTCAATGACAGAGTGCCGGACCAGTGGCAGAGCAGGGTTTAAATATCCTGTCCAATAGCACCCATTAATTTGACAGAGGAGGTGGGGACAGTTGGCCCGAGTGAGTCCAAACAATTCACTGGTTGAATTGAGCTCCTCGTGAAAATTAGCCCAGTTTCCAAGGCGATCATGAGCTGCGAGCTCTGGCTAGTCTGGGCGTAACACTTACAGCTGCAGTTGTTGCTATATGAGTTGAGTATAAAAGCATACTGCGATCTTATGGGGCTTAAGAATCGAGCAGAATGCCGTGTCACATGGTGTGGTGTGTGGCAAGAAGCTTGAGAACAGAGATCTACAGGTTTCACAGCAGAGTGGATTCAAATGTCTTGGCAAGTGCAATTCCCACCTGCCTTCTCTGATGTGAATTACTACCCTTCCCCCTGGCTCTGTGCCTTTGTGCAGCGGAAGGCTGTCTTCCTCCCATGTGTGAGAGAAAGCCAAGGGACAAAGGGCCGCAGGTTATTTAGCTGAATAATTCCGACTTCATTTCCCTCTTTCTGACTAATTACTCAGAACAGCCTTGTGGCCACTTCAGCATGATGGAAGAGTTTTCTTGACGTCGGTTTGCCTTGTACAAATCTTAATTGCGAATTTCCTCCCTGTTCCTGTTTTTAGGGACTGTTTATCTCAGTTCAATAATAGACTACTTTAAGCTTTGTTTGTACCCATGTGTGTCTCAGTGATTCAGAACTTACTGGATTTGCGTGAATAAACATGGGAGCTAGTTAAGATTGTCTTGCCAGGAGGACCTAAAAGCAGTTAATACTGAGAGGAAAGCAATAGACAGGTTTCACAGGCCGCTCAAGCACCTTCAGGTCTCAAGAGACAGTAGCTTAACTCGGTGTCTCTTTATATACTGCTATTTACATACTTCACATACAGAATTGAAAATCTGCTTTAATTTTCAATGCCCACCTGTATGCCTGAAATCTCAGCTATCTTTATCTTTGTGTGAGAAAGGTATGAACAGAGACATGGAAATGTGATGCATTTATATATTATTATATTTACATTATAATATTCATGTTATGTTATTCAACATTTTTGATAGAATAATGAGAATGTGGTTATTGCACATGATAATTCAATATCCTAGCTTTTTTTCTGCATAATCTCTGACCTCTAGTTAACATTTTGTGTCACAGTTTACATAATCTTGTCTAAATAATGGATGAACATCAGTAATAATTGGTCTGAAGTTTTATTTTTTGAACAAAAGAAGGTGTCCTTGTTGGGCACCACTAGCATTGCTTGTTATCCTTACCATGTGAAACAGCAGTCATTGTTTTAACATGTTTCCTCAGACCACACACACTCCAAGTCTACCATATGATTACAACTGAAGACAAAGTAGCATTATGAAATCGGTTATGAGGAAAACAGTGTTTGCGAGTGCAGGTTCTGAGGTGTCCAGGTGGAGCGACGCATGTTGTTCTGTGTGGATTTCAGAGGTGTGGGAGAACAGAGACGAGAAGCACAACTTCTCCCAGCGCTTTGATGCCCAGCTGGTGAGGGAGGAGAAGAGGGTAGAGGTCGAGGAGGAAATCCGCATACAGGTGGGGAACCTCTCCGCTGTGGTTTACAGTAACAGGGGCAGAAGGAACCCGGTCATTCCTGGAACTGGCAGTGCCACTGGGTATGCATGTGCTGTGTTTTGAAAATAAAAAAAAATATTATAGCAAATCTATTTATTCCATTTTTAAATTTTCACACAGAAACCTTCAGATTTGAATGTGATAAACACTTCTTAAGAAAACTAGTTGTGGTTTTGGTGAGAAGCATTTAACTTGACAGTTTTATCTGGGCCTCATTTTTGGCCCTTTTAACCAGCTACTGCTGGAGCTTTCTCCAGCCACCTTCCATCGGGCATCATTGTTAGTGAGCAGGTTTGGACAAATGCTCGGTATCTTGTGGTTGTTGCACTGCGGTGGCATGTTGAATAGTCATGGCTGTTAAACCTTGCAGGTGGACGAGCTGATGAGACAGGAGCTGAAGAACTTAAAGTTAGCTGTGGACCGGGAGAAAGGGAAGAAGAAGAAAGGAAAAAAAGGAAGCAAGAAGGTTAGTGATCCACAATTTCATGGCTTGGGTCTGAGGTCAGAGGGCAGACACTGTAGGAGAGTCGGAGTATCTGAAGACAATGAGGACACAGTGCTCACTGCTTGGATAAACAGTACACCTGCAGTGCCAGCACAGCACCTGTATGCCATAACCAAACTGACATTGAGATGTAGATTTGCTGGTCTAAAGAGGAATTACTTTTAGCCAAGGTTTATGATTTGTAGACCATTAAGACCTTGATGATGTTTTGAAAAACACGTTAACTGTGGGTGCAATAATGTGTACAGATGTTATACAGTTTCACACGCTGTGTTTAGCATCTTTTATCTGAAGCAAGACAAACAGTAAAGGCGCTATCTCTAAGTTTATTACTCATTGCATAGCTTAGATTAAGTGCGTCTTTTTTACATTTGAGATCGGCAGTCCATTTTTTTGTTGTGCTCACCCAGTTTTGGAATCACCAGTTTCATGTTTTTCATGTCATGGCTCACGGCTACGAACCCCCTGACCTCCTTCAAAATACAATGAGACAGTGTAGGCAGACTCGTCGGGCCCACCCACCTTCGAGCCACTTGTCTTTTAATACGTCATGGGCAGTGCAGCTCTGTACCGGACCTGCGGTGCCGAGCGGAGGAAAGGAAAGGGGCCAGCTACACTGTAAAGTGGCCAGGAGGCTGCAGGAGTCACTGAGTTTGCCGAGAACCAAGAATGCTTTGGCCGACTCTCCCACCCTGACCTCGCCGCTGCTCAGAGATTTAAGTCCATCATAACCAGTTTAAGATCCAGGCTAGCAATATCCATTGTGCTTCACGTCTGCAGCTGTTTGTAGAACAGTACAAGTGGAACTGGAAGTTCCCTTTCAGCAAAATCTTTGGTGAAAGAAACCCTAACCACAAAAGCAAAAACACATTTCCTACTGATTAAATTGGAAAGGGATATCCTCTGTGGTTTTGGTTTATTCTGTGGCTGGGAGGCGGGGAGGCCAAGTTCACCCCACACTCAAACAAGCAGGGCTAAATGGACATGCTGTAGAAACATCACTGGTCTCTAGTGTAGCTGCCCTAGAGACACACTGAGCTGAAAAAGTCCCAGGGTTTGCACAAACAATGCCTATCTCCTGGGGCACGCCGGGACCATTTGAGAATAGGGTGAGCCATTAAAATGACTTTTGCACGCTAGGAGAAAGGAAATACAGCCACTTACGTCTGAGGCCATAGAAAATAAATCAGGGAAGTGTTTTTATGAACCACTCCTATTGTAAATGGTAGATGTAAATATTACTGTGTTTTGTGGGTGTGTTAGTTAACTGTGGCTGGCCAGCCTAAATACTGTAGAGCACTGCAAATACTGTTGACTTGCCACACTCATTTGACACATACTTGTCCACTTCAATTTTATTTTACAAGATAAAGATTTAGTAAAGAAATAAACTCACAAACAACACAGGAAGCACATAAAACCTTTATTTGCAGGTCAAGATTTACTGCTGGAGAGACCCCAGCTCCTTATATCCAGCCTACATTAGATCCCTAAGAATATCAACCCCAGTGCACTCGGAAGTCGACAAAAATCTTTCTCAGGATGGTTGAGACTGCTTTCATCCACTAAATAATTCTCTGTGGGTGAAACAGCACCTCAGAATTATATCATTGGAGGTTCACAATTGCTCCTCATTGTACCTTGCAGCAGAACAGTAAACAAATAAAGCCCAATCCTTTAGATTTCCCTAATAAAATGTCCTAACTTTTGTTTGTATTCACAGTCTTGCGCATCCTGCTTAACTTAGCATAGCACTGAGAATCCCTTTTTGCCTGTTGCTTGTAACATGAATCTAGGTACTTGGTACTTCCATCCACTATTTTAAATCAATACAAGAAGTGTGCAGAAAGTTGTGGACAAAAGCAATCTGACAACATTGAGATAATAAAAAAACTTGATAAAGTGACCACTAAGCAAAGCAAAATAGGTAATGGGTATATATAGAACGTCATGCTAGTTTTTTTCCCTTTAAAGAAAGGCACTCGCTGGCATCCTGGCTAGTTGCTATAACCTTGGTGAAAGATTTATATCTAATCTGCTGTTTTTTAGTTCAGTTCAGTTTATTGTCATATACACAAGTGCAATAAAATGCTTATTTGCATGTATGCTCCAATATAAAGACATTAAAGGAATCACCAACAACATAAACACAGAACAGCAACAACAAGTTGTTGCATACCATACAACTTAAAAATAAACATCAGTGTGAGCAAGTGGTAGAGGTAGAGTTCAGTAATCTGACATCTTGTGGGAAGAAACTGCCTCTGAATCTGGAAGTTCGTGCCTTTATGCTCCTATAATGCTTACCAGAGGGAAGGGGGGGAAAAGTGAGACGCCAGGATGACTGGTATCATTAGCGATATTTCTAGCCTTCCTGAGACAGCGGGTTGTAAAAATGTCTGCCATGGAGGGGAGCTGTACTGCAATGATGGACTGGGCTGACCTGACCACCCCCTGTAACGCCTTCCTTTCAGACAACGAGCTGCTGCCGAACCACACTGAAATCCCACACGTGAGCACACTCTCAATAATGCAACTGTAAAATGTGGTAAGGACAGCTGAAGATAGACCAAATTTTTTCAACTCTCTGAGGAAGTAAAGGCGCTTTTGTGCCTTCTTTGCACCGTAGCTCCAGTCACATGCTGGGACTATGTTAAATCATTCGTGATGAAGATCCCAAGGAACTTGAAGCTGCTAACCATCTCTGCAGCCACCCCATTGTTGTGATTAGGGGTGTGGTGCTCACCCTGCTTTCTAAAACCGATGACCGAATCTGGCAGCGAATGTGGGAGGACAGCGATGCAGTGTTATGTGATGCCTGCATGTGCTACTCTAAACCTTGTTATGAATCTAATCCTTACACTCACTTTAAATTCACCCTTTTCTAGTGCCCAGCCTAACATTCTCCCTTACTGTAGTTCAAATTCTCTAATCTCTAATCCTTGCCTTTAATCTTTGGTCAGTCTAAGAGCATACCTTAGTCCAGCCTTAAACACAAACATGGCTCAGGTCTTAACAATAAGCTTCATTCCATCCCTCACCCTTATACTAGCTTGAAGCCTAACCCTACATCTGAACTATAACCCTAGTACCCATCCTAACTAACCTTTACCCTAGCCCTAACCCCTGATGTTACCTGCAAATCTATCCAAATCCTGTCTTTACTATTTTCTTTTTAAATACTAATAAATTACATTACCCATACATTTCAAATTGATTTTTAAAAATAATTAGATTTTTTACTAGCAAGAAAGAACCACAGCAACATAAGTCTATGTACATCTTCTGTGCACGTCACTATAAAGCAAATTATGGTGTTGATTCTGTAGGCTGGCCGGAAGATATTTAGGCCTTCACACACAGCATCTTAAAAAATGGAAAACTTCGAGTACATAGGAAGGAGAGGGATGACATTCTGTCATATAAAATGTAAATATGACTGCAAAATGAAGAGATGTTAGTTCAGTGTGTTATGAAAAAAAAAACATTTAATGTCTTGCTTCCATTTCTTGTAAATCCTGGCAGCCTATTTTGTATTTTCAGTAACTCTATTCAAGTGCCATAAAATGGTGGTTTTAAACACACTGATTCATCTTTTCCTTTACTCACTTTCTTTTTATATGGTCAAAGTTGTTTTGGAAACTAAGATCTAGCCCATCTGATGGATGTGTTGCTCTAACTGGGCAATGGAAAAAGATCATTCAGTGACTGCGACAGGCTGGCTAGTTCCACACATGCACTGCAGACTGGAGTTTCCAGAAGTAGTACATTGTTGCTTGTTTTGTTGTCTAATGGCTGTTATACTACACCATCGCAAGATCTCTTTTGTGATAGTTTTCTGATATTGACCAACATCTGCTGGAGGAAGTCACAAGGAAAAAAGACATGAAAATGCCTTTTGACATTTGAAGAAGAAAAACAAATGCCAATGCAATGAGTTACAGATTATGCTTTTCTATGCTGCATGGAGATTGATCTAGGAAAATGTCATTTCGCTTACAGCTTTGTCGCCATGGAAGTATAAACTTCTTACGTGATCTTCTTTTCATCTGTCATTTTCTGAAGCATTGCATTATCCGTATATGACTGTTTACATTTTCAATCAGATTTGTAAAGCTGGTCCTCTCTCTGCTTTGGGTTCTTCTGAAGAACACAAGGTTCTTTTTTGAAACATTAAATCAAGATGTGAATAAGGACACTAAAATAACTTCTGTTTCATCTGCATGGTGCACATTGTCCAGAATTTAGCAGAGTAAACAACTGAACTATGACTGCTGCCTCCCGGTGACACCTTACTAATGATTGTATTCTGTATGGGGCTCCACAAATCTCAGCAGCTTAAACCAAACACAGACACAAGGTTCAGAACTTTAGTTCAGTACTCAAGTAGCTCCTTGACATTTTATTTGAGGATTTTGCTTTTCACAGCACAGTTTGATACTTTGCTCCCGATGGCCATAACTCTTTATGTCCCGAGTCCTGAGCCTTATTATTTGTACTTTTGCAGCTTTGTCCTCTGGTGCTGGGTGTTGAGTTGGATATGAATAAACATTGTGTAAGAGTATTCTCGTATATGTTGATCACATTTCCCCCCAGCCTTCTTGTTATAAGATGTCCTTAACCTTTCCTAGAGCTCTAGTGTTTGCGCTGTTTTTTTAATTCTTTCCAGCAGAGTAATATCTTTTGCTTGCTCCTGTAATTGGGAGTTGGAAACACTGCTGTAGATGAGGTCATTCTGCCGTGTTATATGTTAGCAACCATTAACTTGCTTAATTTGAATTCATTGATTTTTTTGCAGCATAAGAAAGTAATTAATATTGTAGTAAAAGAGAGGCAAGATAACATAGCAATGAGAACAATAAAAGGTAGTGTGCTTTTTGACACTGCAAAACCAGTACCCAAACAAAGCTTTGCATGTAATACTGTATTAGCAAGTAAATCTATTCAATAAGGGTTTCCTTTTTTGCGTATCAATTGTATACATATTTCATCAGTCATTTTAAGTGAAGCATTTTGAAAGAGTAATCTGTACCTGTTATCTTATATTTCTGCACATGGATTCTTTTTCAGAAGAAAAAAGGGAAAAAGGGTGGCAAAAAGAAGAAAAAGAAGGAGAGGGACCTGACAGCGGACAGGTCTGTTAAGGCGCAGCTCCTGCTGTCGGTTCTTGCCTGAGAAAGCGCGACATGTCCCGTACTGCAGCATTCCGAAGTTTGCGTGGTGAACCTGGAAAATCCTGTAAAACATGTGCTTCGCTGGAGATCAGATCTGTTTATATTTGAGGTTGTTTAAATCCAGTGCTCTCTGTTTACACCTGCCTTAGCACAAATTACCCAAGGCCTCCAGCTAACACTAATTAGAATGATTTGGAAAGGAACGGTATGTGAGAGACAGTCTTTTTCTCTTATCTCCTAAAGCTACAGTATACCACTCTGAGCCTGGATATCCTTCACTGTAGGTGCTGGAATCGCTCAGATAGGCCACTACTGTGTCCTCCCAGGAGAAACTGCTCACAGAGCTTTTGATTTGATCCTGAACTGCAACGTTTACTGTTCTCTTGACACCTCAAAATGGATGAGTCACTTCTTTTGAATTTAATCCTTGTTGCTTTTTTTTTTTCCATGGAACTGCAGTCAGAAATGGACTCAAGAATCTGAAATTATGCAACTGCATATAAAAGATTTGAAAATTCTGTACTCTAAAAAATCAAGTGCATTTCTGGTTTAACCTTGAAACATAACCTGAAACAATATAATTGAGTGTGATAAGTGGGAGTTAACACTCTTGTCATTCATCTGTAGAACCATTGAATCGCTGTATGAGGAGCTGGTTGAGGCGGGGTTGCTTGTCAGGCCCTTGAACGTCAGACTGTCTGATTATATTGGTAATCTCTTCTTACTGCTTCCTAATGCTCTGTCACTTGAGTTCTTACTTTACACTTAATCTATGTTCAAAATCTAGAATTCATTAGGTTGAACCCTTTTATTTTCAACCTCTTTATTCTATGTTTTATTTAATAGACACACAGCAGTTTTTCTGATTTGTAAATTGTGACTGTGTACGAGTGCAGGATGTATTAGGTGTTGTGGCTAGCGCTCAGTAAAGAGATGGTAATGGAATGTGACTGTGTCCACGTTAGCAGTGCTGAAATGAGGTTTTGGCAGACAGAAGTTTTTTGTGGCCAAATACAGCAGTACAGTAAGCATGCCTCTTATGCAAAATTTGATTTCTTTTTACATTAATCAGTATGCCTCTTTCCATGAAATCGTTTTTTACGGCATGAGCTAAACACAGGGAAACTAGACATCTTGGAAACTAGACAGCTGTGTTCAATAAAGGTAGTCAATTAAATTGGAATTTAGCACTAAAAATAACAGAGATCGTTTCTCTCGTTCAGTCAATTGTATTCTACCATGGAGAGAGTGACAAAAATGACTGTTAATAAATGAAAACAGAAACCTTCAGGAAACATTTAAAATAGAGTACAAGTATTATTGTGACCACTTAATGGCAGGTCCAACACAAGAGGCAGAACAAAACCAGCTGTGTGTCAAAGGAGTGTGTCCTGCACATGGTGCTTCGCTGCCATTATTTAGGTTATTTAGGATTAAGATACTGTCGGTCACAAATGAGTGGACATCATTCAGCCCATCTAGCTTGTTTTGTAGTTAGTAGCTAATTGATCCGTGGATCTCATTCTGCTGTTTCTTAAAAGAAGCCTGGGTATTGGCTTTAACAGTATGGCTGGGTGGCCTGATTCATTCTCCCTTTCAGTCAAGAGGTGCCTCCTATTCCTGGTTTTAAATGCACTTCCAATGCACTTTCTTACAATTCTTTTCATAAAAAAAATTACTGTGTTTAAGATCAACAAGCAAAACCAGACGTCATGGGATCGTTTTGCAAAATAACTTTTCTCTCTTGCCAAATGCCCGATTTTCTTTCATTTCTTTCCAAAAAAGTGCCGTTTAATCATTACGAAGCCCTGCAGCTGTTCTTCAATTTTAACGTTTTAATTGCTTCAATCAGTGTCCTCCTAGCCTCTTCATATAAGACACAGAGCAATTTGGCGCAGCTCTAGAAATTTGGATGAATGCGGAAGAGCAACAGGGCAGGGTATCTTAGGGTGTCAATAGTCACAAACTAAAGGCAAGTGATTCGGATCCTAATGTTCACCTTTCTCACTTTCCTTCCCTTTACAGACCCACACCTGTCTCCTCATACCTTCCTTTTCCTGCAGCCCATGTATGTCTTCTTATAAAAGTGCTGTGGAAAAGTAAGGTCCCCATGTGTGAGCTCTCTCACTCTCTCCTGCAGGAGAATACAGTTACCTGGGCACCACGCTCCGCCAGGCAGATATTGAACCTATGCCATCTCTGTCTGACGTCAGGCAGCTGATTGCCCTGTATGGAATCCTGCCACTTGGTAAGTCTCCAGAAGAACAAATAAATAAATGAATAAACAAAACTGAACATAAAGGAGGAGCACAAAAGCGAAACCCAAGACTGAAAGCCAGCGCACCTCATAGCGTTCCAATGTTAATTTTTCAAAAACAGGACCTCTGAAGCACTCTGGCCCTGAACTGTGTTTGAACTGGGCCCATTTAAATGGGGGCTGCGTTTCTTTTGTCACTTTCTCTCCAGCAGCATGCTGGCAGGGTGTAATGCGCCGACGGAAAGGTGGTGTTGGGTGTCCCATGCCGTATGTCAGTTTATGTTTTGAATTTCATCCCCGTTTAATAAACTCCAGCCTGGCTCAAAGGGATTATCACAGCGATCAGAACCTGAGTCAAAATTTGATCCTAAGGTTAAGGGCAGGCCCATTGAAATCCCCTACAGCATGGTGGGCCATGACCTCTTTGTCATTCAACACCAATTATAACTTAAATTGTAACTCTCGTGTTTGGGTCTGTTGTATTTAGTTAGTGGCTGGTGGGACAGGAGAGGTGTAGAAAGCACAGGGTAACCATATATACAGTATATTAGTACTATCGAAAATATCCCTTAGCAAAGTAAAGTAAAAGTAAGAAAATTAGAGTATGAGGACTCAAGACTTTTTGCTTCATTTTTTTGTTTTGCATTAAATGAAAACAGTGGTCTAAAATGTTCAGCTAAAAAAAATCATAAATATTTAATTCCTCTAGTAAGTGCAGGCTTACAAATATTATTTTGCCTACATTTCTAACCAGAACCTTTATTCTAGTTTTACTTGGATGTTTTAGTGTTTTTTTTGCTGTTAAAAAGACGTCATTATAAATAAAATCTGTTTATGAATGCCTAGAGTATTGCATCAGTCCTGGGGGATAACATGTTGGGTTTTTTTTTTTTTTGCTCTCTTGCAGTTTTTTGTTTTCGTTCTTTCTCCTTGAAGTGTGCTGTTCTTTCTCTCCTGCCTACATCACTCTGTGCTCCAGTCCACTAGTCTTTCATTTTCCTTTTCCTGAGTTTCAAACCAGGAGCTATTCAGATCTGAACTCAGTGAAATTGTAGAGCTTCTCTGCAATTTCAACCACTTGCACTTTGCAAAGCACACTGCCCTGTAGTCCACTTCAACAGCAGAACGTGCAATTTTGTTTCCTACTCAGGCCTCCTGCGGCTGAAAATAGTTTAGGCTCTTAGCATACCTAAAAGAGGAAACCAGTTATGGACTGTTTTTTTCCATCTTGATTTCTAAATTTCTCTTGTTTGTATACTACAAAGGGGAACTGTCTTCTCACAGAAATCAGTTTCTTAGCCTCTCTGAGATGTCTGTATTGACTTAACTTGCTAACAAATTCGAAGGAAAATACTTTGACTTGCCTCAGAAAGAAACCTTTTACATGGTGTACTTGCTATCTCTGAGGCAAACAGGCCAAAGTACACAGTGATGTGAAGGGCGTTCTCCTGCAGGGCTGATTTCACATTTCATGGAGGTTATCTGTATCTTTAAGTGAATGGAGGCCAAGGTTTAAACATAATCTCATAATCTAGAGAAAAGGCTGCTTTTAACCAACATGCAGAACGAGGCTTCTCGGCAGAAGAAAAAAAAAGAAATGTATTCCTGAGGAAGTTCTCATGGCTGCACACAATACTACAGCACACAATATAATGCCCTCAATCTAAAGTGTATCGTTTATTAGAAAAACTCACTTTTTTCCAATAGGAATATTCAGTACAATGCTTCTTTTATTGCTTGTTTGGATAGGAGAATAACATCTCAATACCCTGTCAAGGAAAATTCATTCACATCCAGAAGGTAATAAAAAGCATTACATACATACATTAAACCACAAAAAAAGCCTTAGCAGTTGCTCCCTGTGCAGGACATTATACCTTGACAAGTGTACTTAGTTCTAATATATAAACACTTCTTACTCCTGCTTATGAAGAAACAAGTACATGTTAATTCTGCACTGAAATGTAAAAAAACATTTAGGCATAAGGCTCCTACGACAAAATAAGTTATTATTTTCTTCTCTCACTGTAAAATTATCCTGTACTTGTTTCTTTCCAGCTCATACTTGCTGACACAGCTCTCAACTTTAATCTCTACTCTTGTTCATGCCTTTGCAAAGTCAAAATAAGCTCCTTGCTTATGAAAATCTCAAGTGATTCTAGACAAGTTGAATGGCAAACACAGGATTTAAGCCACATACAGTATTATGATAATGTACCAACAGCACAGTGCTTAGAGTTCACCTGTGCTCTCAGGAAAATCTGGGAAACACACATTTCTAATTAATTGCATAAAATTAATAATACAACAGCAATATGCTAGGAACCTTTTTTTAATTAAAAATAATGTTGCACCTGCTCCGGGTTTCTGGACCCAGATGATGAGGTGCATGTGTGCAGTCTCACGCTCTTAATGAATGTTATTTCCTGGCATCCGTCCAGTATTTAATTTAGCAGAATAAACATCTGATTAGACACAATGCTGTGTGCTAAAGGTGTATGCCAATTAATCTTTTGTTCTTTAATGTATTGTGCCTCATTTGGGTTTTTTATGTTGGCCCGGCCATCAGTTCGATTAATTAGAGCATAATAGTACATTTAGAGTTATTTATATTAGATAGTTCGCTCCCACCTTACATTTCTCTGGTAGTTATAAAAAGCTTTTTTAATGTACAATTCTCTATTTTATAGGAGAAACAAAATTTTAATCTGTGGCTTTAATATGAAGAACACATTATGTTAAATTATAGGAAAATAATATTAAGTTATTTTTAGCAGCCTTTGAACCCAAGACAAATTAGTAGCATTAATAAGAGAAGGAGTAATAATTTAAATAGTATCTTAGTGTAGCTCTCTTTGCATATTTTGTACTGTTTTAAGTTGATTTCAAGAAGAAGCTCTGTTCTTTCCTCATTGCGTAAGTTGCCTTGTCCTCACTGTGTGCTTGTGAAAGGATCCCAGGCTGTCCACGAGAAAGCGCCTTTGCTGAAGACACTGCTGCTGGCCGGCCCTGCTGGGGTGGGCAAGAGAATGCTAGTCCACGCCCTCTGCACTGAAACTGGCGCCAACCTCTTCAACCTTTCTCCGGGCAACCTCGCTGGGAAATACCCAGGCAGGAGCGGCCTGCAGATGATACTACACATGGTGTTCAAGGTATGAAGGGTCTTTGACAGGTCAGACCTACTCATAAAACTGAACCTTTATGCCACTTTCCTACATTTATATTGGTACTCTTAACCTTTAGTGTGTGGGGACTGTTTTCTTCATTACAGTGATTTTGATATGAACTTTTTTCTTATTTAAAGGGTCCCGAGGCAAATTATTGGCTTCAGAAAACCAGAAATTCAATTAAACTATTTTAAATTGAGAACTATTACCCTTCAGGTTGGCTGGGATTAGATCCCTTATTTGTAACACTCAAAGAAAGACGGTAAGGAATTATAATACCTTGTGTAAACCATTATATTTACTGTAGTAGATACAGTATATAGAGAAAAATAGAAGCATGACTTTTATATGCATTCTATTGTGTCATATTTTTATAGGTGTGAAACGGCAATGTTAGTGATTCTGTTTAGAAACAGAATTGTGTGATGTGACAGTAGGATATTCACACAGGCAGCAACCACTAAAAGAAATAGACCAGTCCATTCGTCTTGTAACTTAGTTCTGGGTTTTGCATCGGTCACCATCAATTTATCTAGAGATTTATTTAGAGATAAAATCAATTCCGTTTGCCGAGAAAGAAAAATTAGGTGTGCTGGCAGAGATTTGGTTTAAGTTCTCTTTCACAAATCATTTTTGGATTAGTTGTACTGACTGATAAGCATATTCATATTGGTCTGTGATAGGCTGTGAAATGTGTGAAGCAGGTGCTAGTGGGGAATTCAAACCATGAACTGCAGATGTGAGCATTTCACACTGCAAATATTTATGATTTTCCAGTTTGTCATTTCTGTCACATCTAATGGGTAAAAAATTCCCACTGTTAGAGGAGATCAGGATGAGATCTGGAAAGCACAAAAAAAACATATCCATTCAGGCCTGTGTATATTAGATTTTCATGGTCATATCCCTAGGCACACATATGACTGACCACTGATAGATTTAGCATGGTCTCTTAATGAACACCTTACTTCTTGCATCCATGAATCATCAGTTGTGTGGATATCCTTTCTTTTGTCTGTCATCTCGGCGATTTATCATTGCCAAGATGTTGTGTTCCCCTCTGAATGATTGGGGAGCAAACAAAAAAGCCTTCATCTTCCAAAGAAACACTTCTTTGCCGCTGGCTTGAAAAAATAAACAGAATGTGACAGTGTAGCTTTAGTCATAATATGCTGTTTGTCAAACCAGGGCACCAGAGCTGCAGGAGAAGCTCTTCTTTCAACACCTCTCAATTTATGAATACAGGGGCATGACACAAGGCAGAAATACGAGAAAGTGGTCAGCAGTAGCAAGTAGGCCTGTCCACTGTCCACATTGTTCGAGTAGAAACAGGTGTGTCTCATCCAGAAAATAATTTTACCGTGACATCTGTCATCGGAGTGAAAACTGACCATTTCAACGGGCTCATTTATTAAGAACAGCTTCTTATCACTACTTTTATTTTATTTGTCCCTTGTGGTTTTCTGTATCTGTCTGCAGGAGAATGACAGAATAGGCATCCATAGTATCACGGCCAGCTCGGGTCACTTTAAGTGCAGTATATAACTCGGATACTCATAATTTAAAACTGTTTCCCTCACCCTTTAACGATAACAAAATATTATGTGATTGACATTAACTAAGATTGTAGTCAGGGTTTCTTATTTAATATAGATTGAAATGAAGGCCCAAACAAACACATCTAACACTCTCCAAATATGACTTCTACTGGGACTGTGTCATCACTGGCTGATTCACCTCATCTGCTACAGTATGTTTGTAAAATTAATGATGATCATGTCGTTCAACGATTTAGGATTCTTTCTTTCCCCAGCCACTCTTTCTCAGATTTCAGATTCCTTCTTCCTTTTCTTCAGATGTGGCTGAATTCCCAGCCACACAAACATTCCCACCTCCTTCCAAAGGAAAGCTGATTTTCTTTGTGAAAGAGTCATTCCAGAAACAGTCATAAAGAGGTCATTACCAGTATTATTTCATTAGCTGTAGAGACAAAATATAAAAGCATTTCATTTTTGCTAATGGAAAGTGACTGTTGTATTTTTCAGATCAGTGCTTTGGAATGCTATTAATTTCTGCACTTGTATATACTTTGTGGTGTGGGTGTCACTTTCTTACATTCTCTGGAGAACGTAATTTGTATGTGATTTTTCTGCACCACACCAGATGCTGCTGACCTTTAACACAGTGTTTTGCAGTCTAAGTGAATAATGCTGGATTCTGTAAATGCTTCTCTATGTTGAATTCAGGCAAAGTAAAGAGGCAGTGATTAGACTTCTGCAGGGCTGTAAATATTCTAGTGCGGCCTTATGGTACACACTGATCACAAGGACCCAAGTGGAGAGTCCCCCTGAGTGGCCCCAAGGGTAAAGGTAGTTGTGCAAGTGCAGATTGAGCTCCCTGATCTCAGGTTTAAGCCTGGGTCAAGTCACTAGCCGGCTATGAGCAGGATTCCCTGAGCCGAAGTTCCACAATGGAAGGTAGGGTGGGACTAGACAGCAGGGCTCTCAAAGACATTCTGAGCCCTGAGGCCTCCAGAGCACTTGTAGGCATGTGCTGTTGTTAGCTAAGGGGTGCACCTCTCCTCCAATTGGTGCTGGACCTTGGGTTATGGGACTGCGTAGCTTCTGATATGTTAAAAGACGTTTCTCAAAGTGGGGTCCGCTTCCACTTTCTCATTCTATCTGGTATGACAGAGTAGCCACAAGCCAGGACATGAAAAACAATTGGCATTGCAAAAGTCAGGTAGGTGCGACGAAAATTTATTGGTGATTGTTTTTTTTTTAAAAAAAGGGTTGCCATGTGAATAATAATGGTTTACTGGAGAAGATGAATTCTCTCATTCATTTTGCATACTGGTCTGTTATACTCATATGGTTACGTATACAGTATATGAGTCTTTTGAACAGCTTTGCTTAACTGGGCCTATTATGCATTACCTTAAGGGCAAGGCTTAGGATTTTGTGCTGAGCTTTAAAGCTAAAATAAACTGACCTCCTCTGGCCATATTCCAGGTGGCTCGTCAGCTGCAGCCCTCAGTGGTATGGATTGGAGATGCTGAGAAAACTTTTTACAAAAAAGTTCCGAAACCTGAGAAAGAGGTAGGATAAACAATGGTATTACACACAAAAGGGCGTCTTCCAATGAGACTCGCACAAATCCACAGTCTTTGTTTATAATTCACTTGTTATAGTTTATTTAAAAAAAAAACAGTTCAGATTTTATAGAACGTAAAATTCATCTTCAATAACGTCTGCTTTGCTGTTAAAAAAACAGATTAACTTTCATAGAAGCCTACTCTTTCTTGTTGTAACAGATGACACACAGTCACCATGCTTAATTAAGAAAAAAAAAGTTTTAATTCACAGTAGTATTTACATGGAAACCTTTAATTTGCTAAAGTGGTGCAACAGTTTCTCCTACTCCTTTTTAGGTTGAAGGAAAAGCTGGAAAATGTGCCAGTTTAGCTAATTGGGCAATAAACATTGCTTAATGCATTTTAAATCCCTTTAAAACAAACATTTTATAAAGGAATTTAAAACCTTGCTGGGTGTTTTGCAAAGCCAGCCTCTGTTATATTTGCATACACAGCATTACATTGTGTGTTTTATAGTTTTTATATCACTACACTGATTCCAAATTCCTTCAGCATTTATTAGACAGTTAAATAAATGTAGTCTGTCTTTGTAGTTTAGCTCCTTCCTATCCTTTCCTCATAATACATTATTTTACATACTTGACTCTAAGACTCCTTTTAGAAAATGATATCGTTTCAGGAATTTGTACAATTAATCTGTGCTCTGAAGAACGCATAGAAAATATACCGATTTGCATATTTAGATGGGCATGCTTGTCACGGTAACTTTGACCCATTTTCCAAGTGTAAACTGTTTGACTATAGCTTCCTTTTTGTCTAGAGCATCTTATGTCCACCCATTGAAAAGCTGCCATTTAGTACTGGCAGCAAGGTCAAAGTTTGGATTTAAATCTGGACCCTGATTTATGCTCTCACCCACTTGACTCCATTGGTAATTAATTTTGATGTAAACTGTGAAGGTAGCCCCTGTTAGCATATTGCACTGCTTTCATCCAGTTAGGAATTTTAACAAAGCCATCACTATACACACACCTGCAAGCCATTTGTTTTAAAAAAAGACTGAACCCTAGTTTTAAGTGCAGCTCCTTTACAATTACAGTACCTTTAATCACTACATTCCACACTACAATTGTAACAATAAATAAAATGTTAAATCTAAACCACATTTTAAAACGCATAGAGCCAAATTATAAGAATGTGAATAAGTGGTTAATAATTGTTTCTTCAAGTAATATGTTGACAAGATAAGACTGATTGCATGCCATGGATTACGTCCTGAGCTAAACCTGTTCAGGACTGGCAAAAGGGGGATTTTCTTTTTGTCTGTAGTTATCTGAATCAGTCAGTTACCATTAGCCATTCGTCTGCTAATGGCTCATTTCATGGTGCTTTGTTGTTGTAGGACACTAACGTGGTAATGAAGTCTTGACAATCCATCTTCATCAGTGTCAATTCTTTAGGCAAAAAAGGCTCTCAGCTCTCAACTCTCAATACTAGCTGCTTGTAATCTGCAGTTATTGTTGCATAGAATGCTTTGTTTAAAGCGTGTTTCCATTCAGAACATGACATTGTAAGAACGTCTATGCCTTGATTGTTTAGCTTGGAGATGAACTTCACGCTTCTAAGACCTTTTCGAAGATTTCACCGACTTTATGCCTCAGATTTTACGGATGAGAGCTGCTCTGGACTGGTTTCCAGTCCCCATTAATAGTGATGCTGAAAGTTAATTTCACTGGAAATGCTTCCCAAAGTGTGAAAAATTGAATAGACATTCTTTTTGGTGTACAAGAAATGTAATTACGAATATATGTCTGGACATGGTATTGACGCATATCTCTCTACAGCAGTTGACCGTGCAATTAATAATACCCAAAGAGGAATTTAGTGTAACAGAACTGGACCTAAAATATTTATTTTAGAGACACTGGCTATTCAACCTTTAAACTAGACTTTCAAGGAGCTAATGTTTTTCAAAGCTTAAAAATGCAAATACAGCCACCTTATCATCATTCCTACTTTTGTCATCTCAGAGCAGTCAGTATATTCCTGTTAGCCGCCCTTCTATCAATGTGTATTGCGTAAACAATGCAGGGCCCTCACCTTCTCTTCATAGTAAGGTAAGAGAATCACAATTGCACGGATTCTCTCAGTTGTTGTAGCCTAAAGCTAAAGTAATTTTTTTGCAGTTTTGCCAGATGTCTTGTGTTTAAACAATTACAAATAGACCACTTGCAGTTCAAAGACACTCCTGAAGTGTGTCAGCTATACTTTGCCTAATATTCAGTAGTGCACATTTGGGACCTTGTCACTTAATTGGCCCTTTTTGTGGTGGCCAATGCGAACTGTATTTTCCTTCCTTTAAAATATTTTAATTAATTCAACACATTTCAGATGTTAATGTTAGGTTTATGGATGTGGTTTTCTGTAAAGCCTATTTTCTTTATTGAAGTTTAAACAGAATTTAAACATCTGGTCAACACCTTGTTGAAGTCTGCTCTCGGCAATCTAGCCAAAAACGTTGTAGCGCCTGTTCCTGTGCAACTGACTGTAGATTATCTGTGACACAATACTCAACCCACTGAAGTCTGGCTTAAATACTTCACGTACTTGACAGGTGGGCACACTTTGATTACTTTACGGCACATCTGGAAGGGTTCACATTGGGCTTTTATTGATAAAATCATACACTTGACTTGAGGAATATATAAATGTTTCAAGATGCCATGTCTGAATCGTCCTCTCAGCCTACTGTTATGAATCAATTTCAGATAAAGAAAAAAGCCCATGGTTTCTATCTCAAGGTCATTTCTTAAAGTTTCAAGCCCGCTCCATTTATAATTCTCTAAAGGAATTTGAAAAGATTGAACTACTGCAATATGAAAGAACATCCCTCTCCTTTGAATAAAAATGAGTTAACCATTAAATATGTAAAAATAAAGAACCTCACTGTTCTCATGTCAAAGTCTGTAAGTGAATGCTTTTAATATTAAACGCTGGCATTGTGCTGTGTTGAGTTAAGCTGAATATTTCAGTGTATCAGCTTTTCACTGTACTCCTATTTTTATTGATGAACGTAGTCTTTGGAGCTTAAAAGTGCTTCTAATTCCCATATAACTTCCAAGGAAAAGTTTAATATTTGGTGTCAGGCTGATGGTGTTTCATAAAACCTCAAATGTAATACAAACCCTATAGTATATAGTCTCACCTCAACAGTTTATCACTAGTAGAATTTCTTGTTCATGCATGTGAATGGAATCCTGTAAAATCTGATTCTGTTTTATCCTGTAAATACTTCTGTCTTTTGTTCTCCCTGCCAGAATTTAAGTCCTTAGCACTGAAAGAATTTGAAACATCCTGGTTTGCTTATCAGTTTTTACTGAAGTCATTCTGTCTTTTGCTCTTGTGCGTTGATGTTTTCTCTCCCATTTCAGAGGTAGATGATATCAGCAGCAAAGAGGGGATTGATAGCAAGACGTTCTCTTGAATAGGACATTTGTATTGACAGTAAATAGAGCAGATTTCTTGCCAATGCTTATATCTGCCAAACATGTGCGCCCAAATAAAAAAGTATTTGCACGTGAGCTGCAGACTGAGTTATGTTCAAAGAATAAATTGCTTTATATAGAAGGCAACTTCCAATTTCATAGTGAAAATCCCATTTGTATACTTGGTAGTCACATTTGTTTCAATCTATCTGTGCATTCATAAATCTGTCTTTTGACTCTATATTTCTCTTTCCCCTATTTAATTTCTTACTCGCCTCTCAATGTATATAATATGCATTGCTGTGCCAAAACTTCATAAATCCCTCAACTTAACTTTTTCCATTTGACATTAAGTTAAGACTTAATTTCTTCCAGTCTCTCCTCCTAATAAGTTCTATTTCTGAGAACCTACTGCAGCTGATGTAAGAAACTGTGAAGAAACTTATCTAGGTACAGATCACGTTGAAGTGGTATTTGAATCTGTAATAAACAGAGTCCCCAAAGTATAGCAGTGCTTATTAGTTTTATGTGAAATGCTTCATTTGAAATGTTTTCTGTCAAAGCAGGTAGGCTTATCAGACAACCTTACTCCTCCTTGCTAAATTTAGGCAGTTTGTCTCAGCACTACATTTGCAAACACATTGTTTTCCATTTGTAGATGTGAAATCTGTTTGTTTTGGTGGAGAATGAAAAACAACTGCCATTATAACATTCAATTATAAGAAATGGTTCATAATTTGGGATGCAATGCAATTTTGAAACAGACTCCTCATTAAAATCATACTTAAATGTAAATTTACTGCCTGTTTAGATTTAGACTGGGTCTCTTTAAAAGCTAAATTAGAGTGGGGATTTGGAAATTGGGATGTGGTTTAATTTGGAAGTCTAAGACACTTGAAGTTAAAATGTGTTTTAGACCTATCATGATATCATTTCTTCAGAGACCACAGCACATGCTGCCCATGTGTCAGAACAGCATTAATCTAACAAGATCAAAACAGAAAAGTGCCTTCTGGCTTCTGTTATACCCTCAGAGCGCTGTTTACTCAAACTTTGCCTCAAACATGCACATTGCGTGAGTCAACGATGAGGTAGGGTGTTGGAAGTCACTGTCAAATGTGTATTTGTGCAGAAAAGTGCTCCTGTTACATGAGACATGTCAGAATCATCCTGAATGTGATACCAGAATGTCAAGAAAACATGTTCAAACAAGAATCCAGGACAGAGGGGGAATGTCAGCCCATGTTCACGTGACTTCCCAAGAGTGTATCACCATGACTGCAAAGAAAGAAAGCTCCAGAGATGGCAAAGAGGGAGCTGTTTTAGGGCAATCCATCTTTGTAAGCACTAGGTTAAAACCTTAAGAGAGGGGGGTGAAGATTTTGTCCCTTAACTACAGCTGAGAAAATATAGCATTAAAACATTCTGTCATCTTTCTCATTCCTGGTGCCAGCTTCTTCTGCTTCACATTTTTGCAGAGTTCTCAGTTTCTTGTTTGGATCCTCATTTAACGTAATTGTTTCCTAAATTGGACCTTTCAAGTCATTTTCAGCTTTCTCCAAAATTGCTGACTGTAGTTACCCAAAATTCTTCACTTCTCCTCTATCTGCGTCTTTTCAGAAGTCACGAATGATTGAAAGGTTGTAATTAAGTAAATAACTACTTCAATTAATTCCTCAAGTAACTGAGAGCTCAGCTGAGAAATAAACAGAGGACACCTGGATGTGTGGAACTGGGATTGGATTTAATTTGTACTGCTGTGTCCAGATGGACAATTTTCAATGTTGATTATCCCATACAGCCAATATCAAATGCCCTACAGGACTGCATTGAGAAGTGGATGCAAGTATGTTACAATGTTTCTATAGACTTTGTCACTCGTCTAATAACTCACTGCTTCTGCTGTGACAGGAGGTCAATTTAGAGATTCACTATGAGTGCAGTTCAACACACTTGACCAGTCCATTTTCAGACAGCGCCGTCCCACCCTCACTTTTTACTGGTTTGCAACATTGATTTCTTCAGTTTTACGGTACAATGTCATGAAACCTCCAAAGTTGTGTTACACTGCCCTCTTGTGGTAAGGTTGTTTGGTATTTAACTTGCGCTGGGATCCTTTTTGGGAAGAATCCTGTTGGATCCGCAGGTGCTTTTGAAATAGCAACTTCAAAAGCAGGTGATTTGAATGCATAATTTGAATCTTGTCCAGATAATTTGATGAATAATTAAAGAGAAGATTGGTATGAACATCAGAGTGTCCTTTGCAACCCAAAGTTGCCCACTTCCTGTTTCACAGCATTTACAACAAGAAAGGTCAGTTTTTTTTTGTCCTAGAGCAGGTTTTTGTTTCTGAGGTTTCATACACGTTCTCTTATCCATCGCCTGCACTTCAGATGGAACCCAAGCGGCTGAAGAAAGACCTCCCAAAAATCCTGAAGTCCATCAAGCCTGAAGACCGCGTGCTCATTGTGGGCACAACGCATCGGCCTTACGAAGCCGATCTCAAGCCTTTCTGTAAAGTCTACAAGAAAATTGTCCTCATCCCCCGGCCAGACTACGCATCCAGGCTAGGTGAGAGCCGTGTGTGAGGTCAGTGACCAGGGTGGTAAGACTCTTAACAAGTACTGTGTAGGAACAGACTGACTCAGAAAGTGAAACACTGAGCTAGTTGCCACGACAAGGATGCTAATGATTTGTGGCATGCAAATTCTCCCATTTGCTTTTCAAAATGAATTCTTAGGATTTTGTCTGTGTCAATTGGTAGCTCATTTATCAGATATTTGTATATACGTGATGTCTTTCTGTATTGTTAACTTCAGAATTTTAAATGCTTGAATAAAAGTTCCCTCATTTCAGCCTGCCAGTTTAGGATACTCCTTGTAGTGCTGGAATATCCGTGGGTGCTTTGCTCTTAACTGATTCCAATGCTGCAGTGTCCTTTTATAATGTAGACACCAAAATTGTACACGACATTTTAAATGGCATTTTACTAGTACATTGGACATAAACAGCTTTTCTTTTTATTGCTTCCCGGTGTTGCCTAGGACATGAAAATGATGTGTCAGCGTGAACACCCAAGTCTTTTCCATAAGTAGTTTCTTCAATATCAGTGTTTCTCATTTTTAGTTTTTGCTACCTGTATTTAATGCTCTGCACTTGTTTGCATTATACTGTATGTAACTTGCCAGGTGTTTGCTCAGTCTTGAATTCTGTCTAAATATTTTTTTAATTTCCTTTGCAGCTTCTACCGTGACTTGTTTATTAACTATAACAGAATCCAGATTATTGCTATAAATTAGGAAGAGAGGTGGTCCTAGTACAAATCCACTCCACTATTTATGTCAGCCCGATTTTAGCGTTCACATCTTATTTGTACTCTTTATTTTTATCCATTAATCAGTTCTCCCTTCAAAATGATTCACTTTCCTGCAATTCATGGCTTTACTTTTTGTTGCCAATTGGTTATCTCTACTGAGCTTCGTCAAAAGCTTTCCAGAAATAGCCACCTTGTTAAAAATGCAATACCTTTTGAGTTCCTGTGGTTATCTTTGTGATGCTGAAACTCAAGCTGTTTAAGACTGTGCCAGCCCCGTAAGCACCCTGCTGCCCTCTGCTCTGTCTGCAGTGCTGTGGAGACACGTGATCCAGGAGCACGGGGGCCAGCTGACCAACAGCCTGGACCTCAGCTCCCTGGCCAAGGTGACTGATGGCTACACCCAGGGCCACATCCTGCAGGCGGTGCGGGCCGTGCTGGACAAGCGGCGCCTGCAGCAGCTGGGCAAGAGGCCACTGGCGGCCCTGGAGTTTGTAGCCCCCCTGGCCAGGCAGGACCCGGTCTACAAGGAGGAAGAGGAGACCTTCAAGGTGAGCGGAGTCATAACGGGGCAGAACCTGATTCTCACCCCCCACACTCCTTCCACAGTCTCGTCTCTCCCATGGTCTTGCCTGCTGCTTTGCCTCTCATCTGCCTTGGGCTTTGCTTCATTGTTTTATACACACAATTAGAGAGAACTCCTGAGATGGAAAATCTAAAAATAATCTATTAGGATCCCAGTATGGATTAATTATCATGGTCAGTACCTGGATGGGAGACCTCCTGGGAAAAACTAAGGTTGCAGCTGGAAGAGGTGTTAGTGGGGCCAGCTGGGGGCGCTCACCCTGCGGTCTGTGTGGGTTCTAATGCCCCAGTATAGTGACGGGAACACTATACTTTAAAAAGGCACTGTCTTTCGGATGAGACGTAAAACCAGTTTTCCTGACTCTCTGTGGTCATTAAAAATCCCAGGGTGTTTCTCGAAAAGAGTAGGGGTGTAACCCTGGCGTCCTGGCCAAATTTCCTATTGGCCTTTACCAATCATGGCCTCCTAATAATCCCAATCTATGAATTGGCTTCATTACTCTGTTCTCCTCCCAGCTGAGAGCTGATGTGTGGTGAGAGTACTGGAGCACTATGGCTGCCGTTGCATCATCCAGGTGGGGCTGCACACTGGTGGTGGTGGAAGGGAGTCCCTATTACCTTTAAAGCGCTTTGAGTGGAGTGTCCAGAAAAGCACTTTGTAACCAAGAATTATAATAATAATAATTATTATTATTAAATACAATTAAGATGCTAAATGTATGTAATAATTAAATATGTATGCAGTATGACATAGCCAAGCTTAGAAAATTTGTGAAAGGTGCATTAAGAGATCCCTACTTTTTCATGGGTCTGGGTCCATTATTAAATGAAAAGCACTTGTGGTTTTCTGGAGGACATATTAATTGGTACCACTAGATGGCAGATTAACCCTTCTGGCAGAAACCTATTCGCCATTTCTGCACTGTTCTGAACTTTCATCTGCTTGGTCTCCTTCTAAATTCCTGTCTCAAATCAGATCCCAGAAGCTATAGAAATAAAGTATGTAGAAACAAATTGCTTTCAGGCACGACTTCTCAAACAAAGCCACATTTTCATTAATGCTGCTAATAAGATTCTAATTCACTGGGAATATAAATTAATATTAAAAAATTTAGAGCAGAATAAACACACAGCTAGGAATAACACAATAATGTTTTTTTTTTCACAAAAACCTTTGCACACCCTGTTATTTGCGCACAGTGTTACAAATTTGTTAACAGCTGTATGTTTTGTATGTAGTGGTGTCAAGTCCTGAGGTTGATTGATTATCAACAGAACCTCTGTTCACTCTTACTTTTTCACCAGGCATTGCTGTACCAATCGCCAGCTTGGTCATTGGGTGTCTCTAAGAAATGAATTGCACTTCCCGGTGCACCATTCCATTTTTATCTCCGAAGCCCTTTGTGTGGGAGCCTTTCCCTTGTTTCACATGATCGATGGCTCAGTTCTAAAAGCAGCTGTGGTAGCTGTCAGGGCCAGGCATTCCTTGAGAGAAGGTTTTTAATCCAAATGGGCTCTGCTGCCAGTTTGGCTTTGATAGAGGGACAGGCAGTGAGAGGGTGCCCTGAGATCTCTCCCCACATGCCTAGTCTGCCTTCACGCTGGTTTCAAAAGCAGAATAGATGCTATTCAGAGCCATACTGCAGTTGTGCTCATAGCTGACTTTCAGACTAAGGCCGAACAGAAAGAAACAGTTGTTATATAAGAAATTTATATAAAGCAGTGTTGCTTGAAAAAATATCCCTGTAATAAATGTACTGTATACATCCATCCATCCTTTTCCTAAGCTCTTTATCCAATACAGGGTCATGTGGAAGCCACAGCCTATCCAAAAAAGCAGTGGGTACAAGGCAGGATACACCTTTGACAGGATGCTAGTCCACCACAGGACACACAGATAGGCACACACTCTCACCAGGGCCATGTCTCGCAGAAGCCAGTTAATCTACCAGTTTGTCTTTGGTTTGTGCAAGGAAACCAGACATCCAAGGGAAACCCCCGCAGACCTGGGGAGAACATACAAACTCCACACAGACAGCACCCCAGAATTTGAAACCAAGGCCCCAGCACTGTGAGACAGCAATGGGCCACTGTGCCGCTCGGCCTTTCATGCTAATGTCTAAACGTTTTTAAAAAGCTGTGTGTGCGAGTGGAGCTGCTCTGTGATTCCAGGTGTGGTACGCTAAAACGCCGCTGGGAAGGAAGAGAGCAAAAGCGGCGAGAGGCGCTGAGGAGGAAGGACAGACCAAGAAAGGGAAGGGCAAAGGAAAAGGGAAAAAAGGAAAGAAGAAAAAGAAGAAGAAATAGCCCTGGGTGGCCAGCTCACAGTGAGTCATGACAGGAGAACACTCAGCTCTCTGCTGCTACAGGATCGTTTGTTTTGTTTTTTATTTGAAACTAATGTATTTTGATTAGGTTTTTATCATAGTAATATTTTTTTTCAGTGGGAGTATGAATAAGTTCCTTATTTCTTCACCACTTTGAGGTAAACATCTGATTTACAAATTAAAATATTGTGTACGGAGGATTGCAGCTTAGAATTCTTTAATGGAAAAAACTATGCTGAAATAAGTTTTTTTTAGAGGAAAAAAAGGTTAAGGGTGCATTTCAGCTGAACACATTTCTGCCCTCTGTGGGATAAAATGATAAAATGAATGCTGCAGGACTTCCGTCCACTAATACAAGGCTGTAGGCATGAATTCTCAAGTCCTCAAATAAGAACATTTCCACAGACACAATACGGAAAGCAATTAAAAATGCAACAAATCCAAACATATGCTCAAAAATTAGTTCCTAATATGCACTAAAAATTAGTGTTGCGTTTTAATGCCTTTCTGTTTATTATCTAACAGTTTTCTTTGTATTGCAAATCACACACTTATAAATGTATTTGCTGATGCCCAAAATGTCTTTTGCATAGTCTCTAAAATAAGTTCTAAAACCTTGCATTCTAAAGGACTTATTTTGTTGCAGTCAGCTGTGTCTCATAATATTGTAGTAGGATTACTTTCCCTCATTCCAGAAACTGATACCAAGTGCAAACTTGTAAATGTTTATTGAACATCCTTTCTTATTTGCATTTCATTAATTTGTTCCAAAACTTTATTAATCTCTTTATTTAATCTCCAAAGCCAATTATCTGTAATAAAATTATTCTAAAACACAGCTGGGGGAATAGTGTCATTTGTGATTTATAGGCTGTGAACAAACGTTTCATTAACATTGTCCAGTTTAGATTTGTATGTGATTAGCTACTGCAATTAGTATTTATTGTGCAGTTGTTCCTGTTCTGTTATACTGTATACATGAGAGAAAACAAACCTAAGCCAATTCTGGTCTTCAAAAAACTACAATATCTGCACACTATTAAAAGTGAACAATTAGGCTTTTCAATTCCACATCATGCAGAAGAGCAGCTACCTCAGGCAGTGAGCTTTGTCAGGGTTATTGTCATAACTGGAGCTTCTCCCTCTGCTGAAATCCACCCCTTGCAGAAATGGGCTGTTATTATATAATTAAGAGAAGACCAAAAGACTTAAATAACAACAGACAGTACACAGGCTAACGATTTAAGATTTATTTAAAACAAGAGGGGGAAAGAATAAGTATCAGTAATTATTGTCCTGGATTTTCTTCACTCTTCCGGCAAAAATTCTTTTAATTTCTGTGCCAGAGAGCTGCTAATTAGCCTATGTAATTTTCATTGTTGCTTCTAATTATAGCCCGAGGCTGGTCTAATCCACCTTGGCTCAGGTCTGGGATTGATTTTTCCAGTTTGTGTTTACAGGCAAGGCTGCTCTGCCAAGCGGCTGACCCACTTCTTAGGAAGGCTCAGTTGTTCCTAGAAGACCGGAGTTAAATCAAATTTAACAATAAATAAATAGTCAGCACGGCGATCTACTTTCTTTCCATCTCCCTCTCCTCCATCCGAGAGCTGTGGAGAGCCCCCTGTGCAACTCCCTCGCAACCAGATGAATATCTAGAGCATAACAAACGTGAATGTCACCTATCCTGCGTCTCTCATTCCAAAGTTGCACGACAGCCAAACACCATCCTTTCTATCCTCATCTGCCTTTCTCCAACTATGATCATATGATTATTTATGATTTATTTATTATTGCTGATGTGCGTTTTATACATGCTTTGTGCTCGGCCCAGGAGGACGGTTTACATTTGCTTTGCTGACGTTTCTCCCTTCTCCCAGGGGTGTCTTCCCTATTATATGAAAGGGACCTCATTGCTTTGAGCATTTGGGGCGCATATGGATATTTGTGGATGTGTGTTTACATTTTCATCCGTAGAGAGAGGGAAGGGTATTTTCAATCAAAATCCATTTTCTGCATGGAGCACAGAAGAGTGGAGTTTTTAGTGCATGGTAATAAAATAGTGATTAATCCTTCTCAGAGCTGTATCTACAATTTCAATCAAAGTTACAGTTGTGTTTGTTGGGCGGGGGGGTATTTCTATCAAACATAATGTCCATAAGAGTTTAATATATTTCAGTTCTACATCACTTGACATTTTCTGCAATAGTGACAACAAATAAAAGAAAACTCTGCCTTTGGCTCTGGAAATAAAAATTCATTTGCCCCATTGAGCCTTTTATCTTTTGCTTTTCAATTGTTATTTACTTGCCTGCTGCCAGCTTTTGGACTGTTCTTTAATTCATCCACAGATCTGCCTGAAGAAACACTCTTTGCCCTACCTCCACAAATGATGTTGCTTTGCTTCTGGCCTGTAGTTCTGGCAATTGGTTATTGCCTTGTAACCATCACTGTAATGGCCTCTGACCAACTTTCTCTTTCAGAATTTCACATTTAACTTTCTAATTTGGCAGAAGATCTCTTCAAATGAAATGTGGATGAACACTAAAAGCAGTATAGCCTGGAAACCCCATTGTCAGAGAAGGGATGATAGCTCTTTTTAATGTTCACCCACATTCTCCTCTTTGTTGTGATGGTACAGTCTCTTTATTGCAGGCATCTTGACAACATAATTTCCCATTAAAACATTTAAATGAATAAAACAAAATTAAACCTCTCAATTGCAAATCATGCTCTACCCTTACTTAATGGGGACAGAAGGGCATTGGGAGGGAGGGTCATTCACCTCACGTGAAAGTAAATTCCTATCAACAAACAAAAAAGCAGCTGTTCTTAATTATATAAGAATACGTCATGGTTTTCAGCCCTAAAACACTTCCAAACATCCCTTATCAGAAAGCAACTAATTTCTGGTAAGGTTTGAGAAAATCCAGAGCTCTTATTCAGCACCCACAGTTTAGAGACAGAAATTTAAACATGTCTATAAGTTTGGAGGAAACTGGAGCCCCTGGCAAATCGAACATGAACCTGTAGAGAACACACAGACTCCACACATAAGGTACTCCTTCAGGCATTTTACCCAGAATCGAACCCAGTACTCAGGAGTTGTGAGGTAACAGTCCTAACCACCACACCAGTTCTAAGCCTATAAATCAAGTGTGATGGGGATTCAGAATGCCTAATAAGTCTCTAAAAAAATAAAATAGTACAACTCACAGACTGTGTTGGTCAAAAAGAGAAAAGGCCAGGTTGTTCAGACTGATAGTTAAGATTATCTCAGTTTAATACAGTAAAGGCAACACATGCGGTTTATAAATCTGAGAAAATCATACTTCAATCCATTATGCTGTCATTAATGAAAGTAAATAACCATTACAAGAAGGCTATAGTCCCTCATTAAGTTATTTGAAAATAAAACATCTGCAGTATTTACGTTCTCTGCATTGTATTTGCCTTGTCTCAGCTTATCGGCTGTAGATATAAAATGTCAGCACCACCTTTACCAGCTCATAGCCTTACACTATAGAGATTGTACACATTAGTTTGATGCTTGGTGGTTTAAGAATGCTTTCATCAACCTCATGTCCCATCTCTGACCTTGGCCCTGCTTATTTGAACCCTTTGAAGCAAAACAGTGACATACAGTACACACAAGTCCGCTGCTCTTAAGGGATTACTTCCTGTCTGTCTCTTCAGTGCTATGTAAGTCCATCCTAGGCTGTGGCTATTTTTGCCATCCTGTAACCACCCCTTAAGATTTATTAAGCTCTGATACTGTATGTTTGCATGGCTGCATGGCTGGGAAGGTTTAGCAGTTGATCATAACAGCTGTACAGGAATATCATTAACAAATATCTGTTGACAGTGAGTCAGAGAGATGGTGGCCTTGAAGAAACATTCCCGTTTGATACATTCCTATTCATTTTCCCATGGATGCCAGAGAAAACGCTTCAAAACCTTACCCCCCCGGCGCAGCTTCTATAAAAGCTAAGAAGGGTTACTTGTTAGGATTTAAGCTGAACCAACATGGAGAAGAAAGGCAGGTGCATTCTGGGTTTGAAAGTGTTACACTGTCAACTTCATGCCAAATATTTAATAGTGAATTTCCTCAAGAGAGTGTCAAGACCAGTTTCCTGTACAGCACACAAACCTGGGCCCTGCAGAATGATGAAACAGCCCTCAATTTAGGGCGCAACATACACCTGTAACTTTGATGAGTGCTTCAAAACCTTGGTTCATCTTCATTTGATTCTTTTCTTTACCAGACCTGTTCTAACGAGAATGTTAAGGTTCTTCAGTAAGATCTACATCATCCCACTCCTGTAAAAAAAAATGGCTGTATTACTCAGGAGTTACATTATTTACATTGTTTTCATCATTAAGTTAAGGTGGGTAGCTGCGTCAGCATGCGTAGGCTGCAAAGGAACAAGTAATAGGTTTATTCCATGCTGAAAAAAGAAGAGAGAGAACACAACGTTTCAGCCGTGGAGCCTTCTGCAGGTGTGCATTGTGCAAACATTAATCATTAAGTTAATGTTCTTAACCTGAGATCAGATTATATTAAATGCCTAAATGTTTGTTTTGCACCAGTCAATTTTGGGTGAGTGCACTGTATTGTATTTCTGTTAAGTATTACCACATAAAAACCTTAAAGATCCCATGAGATCGATCCCGCTTCTTAATCTCAAAGCCATTGTGGCCCCAGGGTATACTGTTCAACCCCTACTGGGGAGCACAAAGGGCTGGGACAGTCTCACCTACATGGAAAGGCAGGGAAATAGGAAATGGTTACCTCAATTTGGAAATAATTATTGAAAAAAAGAACAATTAGCCAGCTGGGTATTATAAAACAAAGCAATTAATGTTATGCTAATAAGCTGGATTTTAAGCAATTCACTATCATTTGCTAATTGAGGTTAATTAGTCTGACTTCCTAATATATCACTTCAAATTACAAGAGTGATTAATCTGACAGAATTTAGTATTTAAAAAACTCTTCTGATGTACAGCAATCAGGGGAAATAGTTTGGCAAAGAGAACATTTTTTTGTTTTATATACAAAAAGCCAAAGCTTTTGATTAATAAAAATCCACTTTGCTCAAATGTTACATAAATAGGCAATAATGAAGTAAATAAAAGCAAATGATTAAACGTGCTGTCTAATCTAACATATCAATGCCATTTAATTTGGTAATTGTGTAAATATTTGCTCTGCATGATGCAAGGATGTCGATAATTCTTATAAACCAAAGAGAATTGAAAAAAAAGAGCTATTGTGGCCTGCCCACAGCACTCAGCAGAACTTTAAATGGCTGACATTTGCTTAACAGTGTTCTACAGTTTCTTAAGGTGGTCAGCATTAGATGTATAATCCAGCTATTAAAAATTGACTATGTACAATATGCACAGAGCAGCTATAAATTCCATGGTACTGTGTATCTTGATATTTGATTTAGAAAAAAAGTGCATGTACAGTATGCATGTATTTAGTGCACAGATGCAATTAAATAAAGCTGTTTCTAAAATTCATTTTACGATGTCTGAGTAAGAAAAACAAATGCACATTGCAATTAGATGCGACTAATTTAGGGACGACATAGTAGGATAGCTCCCAGGGGAAAACAACTCATTTTTTCTAAGGCAGTGAAAACCTCTTGGAATAATTAAGATGAAAATACATTTTACTTTATAATTCACATTTCTCTTAACGGGTCTCCCTGCAAGGATATGAATATGCATGCTATTCATTGGAGAGTAGAGTCTTGAATGCTGCTTCAAGTAAAATTCAAACTTAATGTTGAGCTGCAATTCCCTTGCAGAGTTCCTGGCAGTCTGTCCTGTCTGAACAGGGTTAGAAGGAACTAAGGGACAAAGAGCCAAATTTGGCTCCCTTTGCCAATTTACATGAAACACCTGTGTGAAGTTTGTATGTTCTCCCCATGTTTGCATGGGTTAGAAAATGGATGACAATGTCCACTTTGCCTGCAGACTGAAGACCCTGATGAAGAATTTTTCCTTTACCTGGGACTACTAGATCTCTGGTACAGAAACAGTCACATACAGTATCTTTAACTGGGGATTTCAGTGGCCATAATGCATCTTTGACGTGCTTGAGTCTCAGAAAATAAAAGAGCTTTTATAAACACTTCAGTCGCCTTCAGGAGAGAATAAATATCCAATGAACAAGACAAATACAAGAGATGTTCTTAAACTTAACAAGTGCTTGCTCCAATACCAGAATTTGATCTTCTCCTCTCTATATACTACTGTATATACCGTATATACTCTGAAATGTATAACACAAGACAAAATGGAATTTGTTAGTAATCTAAAAAAAACAGTTTCAGACTCTAAAAGGGTTATCAACAGCAGGCCTCAGGGGAGACAGCAAACTGGGATTTGCTGTAATGGCAGGAAGATAAATGCCACCAGGTGTGAGGTACAGCCCCTGGAATCACAGCAATTTAGGTGGGGGTGGATATTTGTGATTTTATCCAAGGAGATATCATTCATCTGTCATTCAGAAAATTCACAACAAAACAAATTAGGTTTGTGTATGCGCAATTTATGTTCCTCAAACGTATAAGGACTGGAGCTTTAACTGGGCATCTCTTACTCTTAAATTAACAGCAGTCTTTTCATTATTTCCTTGTAACCTTGAGAATTCCACTTCTGCAAAATGTATCAGAATGAAAAGCAATGTAACTAATATTAAATGCTTTACCAAGTATCTTGTGCAGCTGTTGCTGGAGTTTAACATGTTATTTTTATTGTTTGGAACAATGTTTCATCCAAGAGTAACCAATTCCAATTCCATTTTAAGGGAACAGGGAACAGGGAGCTCTCCTCCCCCCCCAAACTAACACATGACAATAAAATACAGCTTCAAGGTTAAGGTACCATACCTTTAAAAGATGAAATAAGGCCCCCAAAAAAGAAAAAATCTTTGCTTCGCTCTGATCCCACTGTGTGAGTGAAGGAGCTGATATTTTCTGCAGGTGAAAAGTATGGAACCAGGTGAAGTTCTCGTTAAAGTGCAGATGTGCTCCCCCACAATTACACTAGGTCGGACCTGGCTAATTGGTGACTGACTAGTGAAGGTCAAATGCTACAGCAGAGAATGTGTAAATCAAAGGCAGTTCAGACCTCATGGCCAGGGGTGGTCTAGAATTAACTTGACAGTGTGTATTTTTACTGCTCCCCAAACCAGAAGCTGTGGTAATTACCTGCATAGCTTCCTCTCAGCATTCCCTTTCTTCCCTCTCTGAACAGGAATCCTCCAGGGACAAACCCATATCATTACAGCCATGTGGTAAAACACAGGGTCGCTAACATTACTGCTTTCAAAGGATGAAGCCACATTGTGTACGGGTTATTCTAAGCTGGTCCTAATGATCACCCTTTCGGGACTATCCTGTGTGATCTGATGTGTTATATTTTCATTTGGATTTTGCAAATATAGTGGTTGGTAGATCAGCATGAAGAAGGAGAAGAGAATGTCTTCATACAAGCCAAAAAGCCACAAACTGGTCTGTTTTGATAGTGAAGTTTTTGTATACAGCATGTGTTAGATATTGTGGTCGCTGTCAACAATTGTTAGCCAAATATTCAAAGTTCCAGTTGTCTTCATCTTCCTCAGCTGAAAAGCAAGTGTGAGACACTGCAAACACACAACATTGGCCTGAATAAACCTTTGGATGCTCTCTGATGTTTGAAAAGGAGTCCAATGAAAATGCCTTCCTCAGATACTTTTGCACAATACTTGCCTTACAAACTGACTAACTGATACCTATTGAGGTAGTTAGCTGGTTTAATTGCAGTGCTGTATAATCTCAAGACTACATGCCAAAGACTGAGAAAAGCTGGCTTCAGCACTGTGTTGGGAAACACAATCTATTTCTAGAACACTCTGGCTTTTCTATCTATAGCCCAGCTGACAAACATCACACTGAGGCCTGACTATTTAAGATTAAGAAAGGAGTGCCTGTACATGAAATCGGTGTGTACTGTATATGTATACATGATTCAGAATTGCCAATACAGAGGACTAAAACAATGAGTGCAGAACTTGTTCCTGATCACCCACTGAATTCCACTTTTGTTGAGAAGCTCAAACAGGCCCTGGAGAGGGAAGACCACGAGGGAGTGTGCTGGCTGCTCCGAAGGGAAGCAAAGGGTGCCAATGCCATCATCGAGCTCTCCAACGACGACTGGATGAAGGACCCTGCTGTTCCTCTCCCTCCAGTTGTGGTGTTAGGTACACGGTAGATAAGATGTTCATTTTAATGCATGTCGTGTGTATCCCATTTCATTTCCTGCAATAGACAAGACAGTTAGTCTTGGCAGGGACAGAAGAAATAAGTTTCGCAAGTTATTGTGGTACAACAGACCACGTGTCGAACACATCATCCAATACTGCAGCCTTTAAACTATATAGCCTTTGACTTGTGATTGCAGATGCAGTTATCTCGTTCAGTGCCAAGGAAACTCCCCCCAAAAAAAGTTTGGAATGTTTCAGGGTTTTATTTCTTTTTGAAAAGTGATCATTTCGTTAATGTCATTATTTTCCCATACTGTCTGCATGGACAGGTCGCTTTAGAAATGGCAATATGACTCCCTGCAGGATGTTTTTGGAGTGGGTTCAAAGCAAGTACAACTGATCCCAGGGCTCAGTGCAATGAACTCTATGAGCAGCACTTAAGTGGGAAACAAAAGGGCCAGGGGCAATTTAACTGAAGGTTTTTCAATTCTAAAAAAGACAAGGCTTCGCTACCGAGGTGCTGAGTTAGAAAGTGAGATACAGGTCTTTGGACAGTTTCCCATAAGGAAAGAAAATCCAGGTATGCAGTCCTCTTGAGTAGCTGCAGCCCATTCTGCAGGTTGAGCTCCATGATCCTGGCGGTTCAAGCATGGATCGTGTCTCTAGCTGACTGTGATCTAGGTTCCCCAAGCTGCAGGGCACAATGGACTATCAGCAGTACAGCACCACCTGTGTCCTCCCGGGCTCTTACACACACATGGTGGGTTCAGTGAGAGACGTGCCTCTCCTACAACTGGCGTTGAGACTCCAGGATGGCGCCATGCTGCTTGTGATATGTTAAAAGACAAGTGGCTTGCTTAAAGCTGAATGGAGGACTCTTCCTCATTCTCCCCTGTTTGTGGTAACAACCTTTGTAGCCCTAAGATGAGATGTGAAAAACACATCATTGTGGATTGCAAAAAATGGATGACTACAACAAAAAATAGATGTTTATACATTAGAAAAAAATGACCGTGCGTGGATCTGCTTATACTGTATACTGTAAGCACAATATACACTAAAAATCACAATTTCAAATTCAATGCTTAATATAATCTATTAGAACTTCATTCATCCTTCTGTTAGCAGAAAACTGCTTATTCCTGGTAATGGTCACAGCAACCCAGAGCCCGTTCTGGAAGCAAAGGAGGACACCAGTTCACATAAGGACACGCACAGCTATGGGGCGCACAAGTCAGAGATACCAGCTGACGTAGACTGCATGTCTTTGAACTGTGCAAGGAACCCAGGGACATCAAATAAACCCACGTGGCCACAAGGAGAACATGAACACTTCACACAGAAGGCACCCAGAATTTCAGCCACACCCAGGAATCCTGAATCCTGGACCCAAGAGCTGTGAGGCAGAAGTACTGACCTCCACATACTGTGCTGCACAGAAACTATATTTAATTCCATCCATCCATCCATCCATCCATTCTTTAACAGCTTCCAATTCAGGGTTGAAGGGGAGCCAGAGCCTATCTTATCAAGCAATGGCTACAAGGCAGGATACACCCTGAAAAGGACAACAGTCCATCATAGGACAGACACACACACCTAGGGCCAGTTTTCCCAGTGTTTGGACTGTTGGAGAAAACCAGAGCACTTGGAGGAAACATCCAATCTCCACAGATATACCACCCCAAGTCCAGAATTGAACCCAGGGCCCCAGCTCTGCAAAGCAATAATGCTAACCTCTGCACCACTCTGCCACTGCTTAATTGAATTCATGCAAATCCTTACCATCTTACAGTTTTTCAGTGTACGTTATTTTCTAATTATAGAATTTATCCTGCATAATTTCAGAAATATATAAAAATAATTACATTTTATACATTTGAAATGCAGATGTTAGTTTTCACTTTGTCTGTTAGTTGATGCCTGAGAATGTAAGAAAACTCCTCCAAATTTAATAGTTTGGGAACAACTGTTCAGAGTGGCTTCTGATTAAAAGAGCAGGTTTGTGATGTTAAGATATATATTCATTACTTTAATATTGTATAGTAGCCAATTCTTATCATTAATGGGCTTTTTTTATGACCATGAGGATCACTAAGCAACCCTGGAATGTTAAGAGTTCTTGGCGATACAGCCAGAGGTTACCGAACAATCCTACATCCAATCAAACTGCTTGAATATACAATATTACAGCCTTTTGTTATTTTTATGTCTGGCCAATACAGGCTGTGTCCTATTTCGAGATCACATTGCTGTGATATCACTGCAAATGTATTCAGGCTCTCAGTCTGCCTCTGGCCTGTTTACAAATACTAACCTGGCAGCTCTGGCGCCTCCTCTCACAAGTTGACAAAGCAACAAGGGAGCCTTTTTTTTCCTGTTCTGTGTCCATGTTACTGTCAGCCTTGTGATGCGAAATTCGGTTCCAATCAAATCCCATTCAGGCTATAAATACAAATACGAACAGCAGATATGAATATTGTGTGGCTTGGTCAGTGGTAGATAATAAGCTCTTTTGGTTTTTTTGTTTTTGTTTTGGGGGGTACACCTGGAGGAGAGAAAGCTGAATTTGTGGCTTAGGTTTGAGAGGAACAATTCAAGCAATGTATTCCAGAAGGAGCAGTGCATGTGCTTCATATTCTTCAACTCTGGCCTCTTTGAGTGGCACTAAGAATGACAATGGACAGAGCACAAGCATGCAGAGCTCTGGTTGTCTGCAGGCTGCTTTGAGAGAGAGCACTGTGGTCAGGGAGCCAGTCAGAAGGGCAGTGAGAAAGCCAGTGCTACTATTTGAATGTCCACCCATTCTGAGATCTCTTCTTACCCAACACTGGAAGGATCTGCAAGATGGATATTCCGACGCTGAAGAGCTGAACAAAGTTATCGAGTTTCAGAGTGATGAACTACAGTGGACATCCAAAAAGTATGGTATGTTTTGAAGAGACTGTGTGCTTTTTAATGTGCTCTTTATTATTCCGTCACGAAATAATTATATAGGGATGGGCTGTATTTTCTCTACTTTGTTATTTGACTCTGATAGCAATTGACTAATTCTTAATCCTTTAAATTTCTTTTAAACATGATGATTTACTAATAGAATTACAATCTTTGCCATTGTAGTGTGCAAAGGAAATCAGTTAATTCTGATAAACAATAACAGTGACATACTGTAACTAGTTTGTTAAAACAACTCAACTCAGCAACTCAAAAAGTTAATAATGCATTTTCACAGAGTATGTATCTGTTTTTAATGGAATGTGTTAGTTTGCGTATTATACCTTTTTTAATATGGCCCAGTGTTGGAGCATGGTATGCCCTTCTAATTTGCAATGTGTCTTTACTAACATATAAGATCCATTTCAGAGCCATAACACACGTATTTGCTAACATATGAGATCCATTTCAAATTCTCTGGATATATGGAAGAAAATCCAGAAAAATCATGGAAAGGGACACAGTGTACTATACCATTTACACATACTCCAATCTTGTCCAGTGCTGAATAAGTAACAGATGCAGGCAGACCATGAATCTGGAACACCATTGCAGGCTTAGCTATGAGCACTTGAGCCTCTCAGCATAATAAGAAAGAAATCCTCTAGGCCAAAAGACCAGCCAATTGACACATGAGATTTAGAGAGTGTAGGAAACTTAAAGGAGTGATGTCACTGTAAGGGCATCATAAAGATGGTCTGATAGACATATACATTAATTATAAAGTTGTGTATTAGACATTTCTGCACAGTCTGCCCAAAGAAATCCTATTTTCTATAAATAAAAGACTAGCTAGAGTTTTGAGCAGAACAGTTTATGGAAATTACTTAAGTAAGTTTTAATTATATCAGTGCTTTAATATGAATCTCACGCTGAACGCTGAGGTTTTTTTCACCAGAGCACTGTCAACCTTTGAAAGAGCCGTTTAACAAGTTGATTTTTTTTATCTGGTCCTAACTTCTTAATGTTATGAGTTCAGTATCTGTGTCTGATTTGCATTACTGCTTTGTGAATATGACGCATACAAGTAATTATTTGAACCCACATCTCCTGCACTGTTTTCACTCTTATTTTGTGAATTTTGTCAATCCAACTCTAAATCCCATAAACTTCATCGAGCTCCCTAAAGATAATTTTATTCACTCATTGGCTATCCCTATTTGTAAAGTGTGATTGTCTTTCATGATCCTGAAGATGATTAATAAGGCTAATGAAGGTTCTTCACCCTCTCTGGCAGGCTGAGCAGGTGTTGTAGTGAGAGATATCTGGTCACGTATTATTCAGTCATGGTGAGATACATTTGACACTTCTGTTTCCTTGTCTTGACACCTTTAAGAACCAAAATGCTGGGCTTCTTCCCAGGTAATCTTTTCATCTGCTTCAGTCTAGGTCCATAAACATCCAAGATTTTATATTGATGTGGCATTTCTTCATTATTGCATATAGCTTCAGAGCTTTTGGTATCTTTCGGTAATATCAGTGTTTCTTTTCTCTTGACATGTAAAATCTACAAACGGCATTGGTGGATCCAGTGTCTCCTGTAGTAATCCAATTTTCATCCCTATACAGTAAAGTAAAAATGATGCCTGCATGGTAGATCATAATAATAATGTTTCTTTATTAGCCCTATACAATTTCTTGCATTAGGAATTCGTCTTTTCGCATACCCCAGCTTTTCTCCATGGAGACACAGACACAGACAGGGAGAGAAGCTTGGGGTCAGAGCGCAGGGTCAGCCATTGTACAGCGCCCCTGGAGCAGTTAGGGTTAAGGGCCTTGCTCAGGGGCCCAACGGAGTAGGATTCCTCTGCCGGCCGCGGGATTTGAACCGGCAACCTTCCAGTCACAGGCGCAGATCCTGAGCCACAGAGCCACCGCTCCGCAAAGCGGATCATCCGTATGGTTTCAGTTTTAATGCTACGATTCTCGAACACTCAGCTCCTTAGCCAGGCAGGGGTTGTACTTACAGGCTATGCTGGAAAGAGAACTTTCAAGGTTTGGGAAGTGCTTGGCATTCTCCAGAAATCCATCATGAATCCGATTCGATGGCACCAGGGTGTGTGCCTTTGCACCTTGCTGATGGAGGACTTCAGTCTTCTGGTGTTAAGCAAAAATCCTGTCTTCTCATATACTGATTGACAATTGTATGGAGATCCAATGCTATTAAGACGAATATTGTAACATCATCAGGTTTCAGGAGTCCTATGACTGAAGTGAGGCTGGTTTTAGGTTTGGATAATAATTGGTGGATAAATAGTTAATCATCCATTTGGTAAGTCAGATACTCTCTAGCAGGGAGTTTGTCTGTAAGAAAATGAGCATATTTAGCTTCTATTGGGTAAGCAAGGAAATCTCTATCACCATTATCAACTTCCCAAGGAATACAGTTCCATTCAGAAAATTAAAGCATCAGGTCAGGATTTTCCAATGTATAAACAAATGTCAGAACAGTATTCTGGACAGCATTGGCAGTAAATTCCCATCAAGCATGCATGAAAGGCACTGGTTCTTCCAAACTATTTCAGACAAGTCATTAAGGTGCATAACATGCAAAATTTGATAAAAGAAGAATGCAAGCTCTAGCTTCAAAGAAAATCAGGGGAATGGCAGTCCCTGTGATTCTTTAAAGGCTGATCCAAAGAAGCTATTTGTTTTTTAATCTTCAATACCATCTCACAACATTGTTGTTTCACTTTCTTTAAATTCATTGTGTGGTTAGTGGTAAAGGACAAGCACAGTGGTCATATTAAATCAGCCATCTTCCACCTGGACAGAATAACAGCATTCTGGGAGATTCATAACTCATAGCATTGCACATCCTGGAGGTGAAAGCACTTGGACCTCAGCCCTGATGTTGCACTATAGGAGAAAACCTCAAAGGGCCACACTGTGAAATTGTGGTACATATGTCATACTATAAAGAATGATTAAATAAGCCAAATATAATGTATTACCTATGTTATCCTGCAAACCACAATTAAGGTATGGAAACTAAGGTATGCATGGATACTAAGGTATGGATCTTTGCTATACCTAACACCATAGGAGAGAGTTCTGTTTAGGTATGACAAGAATAATTTCTTGGTTTTCATGTGACTCTTGTGCTGCTGTTTGTCATTCTTGGCTGCCTTTGAAAGAGCTGTGATTAGAACATCAAAGCTTTCCCCACTGCTCCTTCCCCTGGTTAACTACCCAAATGGACACTAATACTTGAGATTCAATTTCTGGGCACTCACATGATCCTGGCTTTATTTTGCCTTTTTTAAACTTAATTGCCATCTCCGTAATTACGTATCCTGCATAATACAGCTTTCAGTAATGTTAAAATAAACAGAAAATGGAACTAAAAACTCATGGCGTCAACTTCTAAAACCATTTCCTTTAATTATATCTGTGTAATTGGCACAACACAGAAGCTTAGAAGAAAAATCTTGTACTCCTTAGTTTTTCTGGTACTCCTGTTACAAACATATCAATTTCACTCAACGTTAGCCTGTCTTGGCTCTTACTGAGAAATCAGACTTCAAAAACATCTGTGGTGACAGCAACTGCTCTTTTCAGTGAAGACTGAACCAGCTGAAGCAGACAGGTCAAGACTTCTCATGTTGTGATGCAATATAACAAAATGCTGGGGTTACAGAGACCACCAAACATGCGACACGCATGAGACAGGATAAATCAGAGTACAAAAAGCAGAAGAGAAACCTGTAAGGTTATTGAAATGGGTTGATTTAGACCTTGCCTAAATCCTTTCAAGATGCATACACATTTTCAGGAGGCATTCACCACTGAAAGAATCACCAGGCTGTTGTTTAGTACACAGAATCTAGCTGGGCTGCCTTCTTATTTTAATATTTTGGGGTACTCTGGAAAATCTCCCTGGGGAGATAATCCAAATGCTATGTAAGTTGTGAATGTGGCCCAATTTGGCCCACCTTTCCAGTGCACTCTAACCTTGAGACCCTGCCAAGATCATGAAGTGGTCACGTACAAAATCACACATTAGTTAGTGTCCAGGGAAGGTAGCAATTGCTCCTAAACATGGAAAAACAAGGCAGGGTGCAGATAAATCAGCCCCATATCTGAAATACATGACAAGCAGCCAGAATCATCTGACACAAACATCAAGTGCTAAAATTATAACCACAATAAGCTACAGCCTAGAGAATGACAACAATAGGTTATTAATAGTCAAACAATGAGGGAAGGGGAGAATGTGAAAATGGTCAGGGGCTATATAACCTCATACCTGACTGGAAGCACAGCATTCTTGATTCTTTGGAGATAAAACAAGCTTCAGTGTTCCTCCTGGAGATGCCCAGAACTGTACATCAGGAAGAGGCCTGTCAAACCATATGTCTGGATATATGGCACACTTTAGCAGAGGCTGAAGTCAAGCAGCCTGCCCTGGAAAAAAGCTCCAAAATAGAGGAGAGATATATTAATCTCTACAAGGCTGTGCTCGATGGAGACTTTAGACGCCTCAGGGCACTGGTGGAGAGGACTCATAAGAATGTGAATGTAATATTTGATGTTAACAAAGATGAGTTGGAGTGGAGAGCGAATAGTGTGGCCACATATGGGTGCTCAGGTAAATGTAAGTGGAAGAAGAATTGTGATGGAAAGAGCTTGTGATTTCTTTTAAAGAGTGTTTAGTAGATATCTCTCTTTAATCTTACAGATGTCCGCAGCTAAAGATTAAATTTAAAAACTGAAAAAAAAATTAGATCTCATTACCCTGTGTTAGCTACCCTGCATATGCTTCCTGTGCAGTTCAGAATTATTTCTTGGATTGTAGCTCTTATTTGTTACCTACTTTTTAAAACTTTATATTTTGAAAGTTATTGGAAACCTTATAAATTACTGGGTCAATGGTTAAATGAATCTTGTTTTATGGTAAAGAATACTAACATTTTCTGCATTAGGTTAATTCAATCTGTCCTAAAATGCAAATGCAAATATTTAGCTACAAATAATACCACCTTTTAATTTGTTTCACCTTTATTTTAGTTTTTGGTTTCGGTTTCTTTTGTTCTTGTTTTTTCTTTCCAAATGGATTTTGAAAGATTTTATCTACAGCCTGGAGTAGTGGTGTTGAATATAAAATTAGTGGTATCTAAGGACAACTGGAGAAAAACTGTCCACTCTAGCACTGGACATACTGGAATCTACTAAGAATGCCGTTTAGCTTTCGATTACAATTTCTTTTGGGAAAAAATGTCTAAGTTATGTTTTTTTCCACATCATCTAAACCAAAAACACGAATTTCTGTAGAGAATAACAGGAAGATGTCCTGTATAAGATTGTCTATGCTCATTTTTGGGCAGCACCTAAACAACTTTGAAGCTGCTGGCTCATATGTGTCTCCCTCCCTGTAGGACTGTGGTCACTGGAGTACAAGAGGGAGCTGACAAGCCCCCTGTGCATTTCTGCAGCACAGGGCTACACAGACTGCCTGCGGTACCTGCTGCAACATGGGGCTCGGCCGAACCTGGCGCCCGGGGGCAAGACAGCGCTGCACGAGGCCTGCGAGAACAGCAACACCGCCTGCGTGGAGCTGCTGCTGGAGCACGGAGCCAGTCCCGTGCAGCTAAATGAGGAGGGGCTGACTCCGCTCCACCTGTGCAAGACCCCACAGTCCTTCAGGCGAGTAAAACTCCAGTCCGGAGTTTCTCTGCAGCCCAGAGGCATCTACTCCTGCACTCAAACAGGGAGCACAAAAGGCTGCTTCTATTTGTTCTGAGCAAGGAGGAAAGCCTTAGCATATACCTTTGCATCGAGTCTGTTTGAGAACAAAATTAATGCTAAATAGACATGCAACATAGGTATGATAAAACGTCAAAATGAGCCAGAAAAGAGAAAAAGATTCTGATAGGATATTGACAACATCCTGGATTTTTTTGTACATTTTTTGCAATTTAAGTTTAACCCTATACAATTTGCGTCACTGTGTTTTACGCCATTAAGGGCATCATGGTCCATTTGGTGGTTAGATTCCCCCTAATTGCATTCTGAAGGATGGCAAGGAAGCTCTCTCATTAGTGTGCTGGCGAGCAGAACAAGCTGTCTCCATCAGATCTAATGGTGTTTGAAACAGTGTTGGAAGGCAAAGACATCTTTATCAAAAGGCATTCAGACAGGAGCTTAACGCTCTTGATTTTGTATAAGAACAATGCAGGAATCCTCATAACAACTCTTTATATTTTTATTCTTGATTTATGCTCTAACTTAAAATAATCAGAAATTTATTTAAATGTAAATCCCTCAAATGTAACTCAACTAGTATGGCAAGAAGCATGATGGAAGAATAAATACCTGTTAAGTCAATGGCAATAAATTAAATTAAATCATCATTAAGCTCCATATTAGTGTGAAATACAGTACATGGTGAACACCTGCATTATAAAATCAAATGTATAATTTTGTATGTATTATATATAAATCTCAATGCAGATATCAATCTGCATGGCATAAATCTAAGACTAAAGACCTCAGTTCTCTCTGCAGGTGTGCTAAGCTCCTTGTGAGGTATGGAGCACTGGTCACCCAGCCCAGCGAGGAGGAGTGTGAGACACCCCTCCATGTGGTGGCCAAGAGAGGGCTGCAGAACCACGCCCACCTCTACCTGCGCTATGGGGCTGAGGTGAACAGCACCAACAGCTCAGGGGAGACACCCCTGGGGGCTGCCTGTGCCCGGGCTCAGAGTCTGGAAGAGCAGGACAACTACCTGCAGCTGTGCCGCCTGCTTCTGATCTACGGAGCGGACGCCAACGTGGTAGACAACGAGAAACGCAGCCCCCTTCACAAGGCCAGCCGGAACGCCCAGCACGGCCTGGTGGAGCTGCTGCTGGAGCACAAGGCGGATGTCAACGCTATCGACTACAACGGGAGCTCGCCGCTCTCCAACGTGCTCCAGAATGCTGTGATCAAGCAGGACCTGCAACCCCACCTGACTGTGCAGACTCTGCTCAACCACGGCTCCCTCAAAGTGTGGCCCCTGGCCTTCCTGAAGGTAGGCCTGGCTGCAACTGCACAAACGTCAGCACAACATCACTACAGCTTTAGACTTGTTGTTTTTTTTCTCAGGGTGACAGAGAGACTTTATAATGCTGAAAGGAACTGTGCCGGATAACAAATCAAAACACATTTTGACAGCTGTCTTCATCTCTGTGTCATATGAACATGAGGCTTTCTGAGGCATTTTCGAAGCAGTGCAGGAAGCAAGGTGGATGTCCGTTGATATACAGTTTTCTGGCAATAATCATATTTTTGACACCAGGGCAATGCTGCATATTAACTAGAAAAATCCTACATGGTATTGGCAAAGTGTTCTGAAGCATAAAACATGCATATTCCCATCCTGAAGGAGTAAGTGAGATGCCCTGTGTTTCAGTGCATTTTTTTATGTTACCATCCCTTTTTCATAGTTACAAAAAAATGGGAAATGAATGAAAACACCCGGAATAAATACTGTTCATTGTATAAAAGCTTTACAGTAAGAAAGAGTCCAGTTGAATGCTGTGACATTTGAGGTACGTATCTCTATTGGCACAGCCTGGCACATAATGAGTTTTTTCTGGTAGATTAAATGGAAAGAGTTCATAATTTGTCTTTAAATACATTTTATCTGTTTTTGGCTATGCTAGGTACTGACATCCTGTGCTGGTGCCCCTAAAACTGTTGAAATCTTGTTCAACTCCTACAGCCAGATCCCTGTGACTTACAAGTGGATAGAGGCAGTGCAGGAGGATGTCTACAGGGTAAGAATGAGGGGATGATACACACAGAGCTGAATATTCACTTCAATATAATAAACTGTCTATTTTTCACTCATCCCATCATGTAACGAAAGTGCCACACCACGAGACCTGAGTCAACCTCGAGGGCAAAGAATTGGCATAAAGCCATAAGTGACATACACGCAAACAGCTGGTTAATTTAAAACACTACAGATGGGTAATTGAATAGGCTGTAGGAAGAGTAAGAAGGAAAGGAGGACTACCACACATATGTTTCGTGAGAGGGATAAGTAAGGATTAATGCCACACTTGAAAGTAGCAGCACAATGTTTTGGCTCAACAGCTTCTTCAGGTATCAACAGGACAGAGGTGTCACACCTGAGGAAAGCTCAACAGCTGAAAAGCTGTGTTTCTACTTTTCAAAGTGGATTTAACCTTTACTTGTTCATTTGCACTTAATAGACACAGAGGCTATTCCACACTCAAACTTTCCCTGACAAACAGTGATTTCGATGCTGCTGTTAACATCCTCTGTCTTTACCATGTGTTAATTATACAATATTAGAAATAATGAAGACTAAATGAAAATGTGGACATACTGTATAACACACATCAGGCCTTATAGATTGATACCTTTTGTATATAATGTAAATGCAAAATTATAAATTCTCCATCATATAGGTTATAATCCAAGTTGAGATCTTAATAGTGCCCTTGCTGCAAGTGCACAGAAGCTAAAGTTTTTTCGAGAACAGTAAGATACACTTCAGAAATAGTAGAGTGTAGTGCTTTAGAAACCTTTATTTAATCTTTTCTTATTTTTTTCGTCGTTGTCCAAAATTTCTGTGCATTTAGTTTTCTGTTAGAAAACTGGAAACAACTAAGCTGGATCATATTCTGTTAAATTAGTTGTGCTGGAAGTAATTTGTGCAAAATGAAATCAGCAAAAGAAACAAAATCTCTATTCCTCTATTCCTAAAGTGGTGCTGATTCTACATGATTCATGTAGTGGAAGCCAGCATTAAATGGGATCCTTCAATAAGAACATTTTTGATGTTCTTGGACTGATAAATTATTAGGAACCCAAAAGTTTAGATGGACCACAAGGCTGCCTCCCCTTTGTAACTATTCTTGTGTCCTTTTTTTCAAGGTCTGAACTGAACCACAGAACATTTCTCTCATATGTCCTTGAAACAGTGCTTTCATTGGCTACCAAGGTCATCAATCATAGCCTGTTTTTCCATTTTCTCTTATTAGTTTCTCATTGGTATTCCCCATAAAAATGAGCTCCAATACACGAGCATTAAATGTTCTGAGGTAACTGTGATACAGCTGTGTGATGTAAAGATACTGTTCAATGTGCAATGCCAGTGCACATCTTTACTTCTAATGCTTATTGAATGTCTTTATTAATTTACTTGGGGCTGTAAAAAAAAGGGGGCAGCCCTAATATATACATGCACAAACATAGAAATCCCTTAAAGAATTTGAGAGCATTTGTATTTTGGCTCATACAGACTGATCCTTTGCCCCAGACACTCAGTCAACTCAGTTTTGGAACTCACTTTAGATCTGTTGCCCTTTACAACTATGATGAACTGAGGTTATTGAAATAATTCAAAGGGGAAGGAAACCAAACTGATTAATGCAAAATCTACTTTTAGATCTCCAGACCTTTTTTTCTATTTTCGTCAGATTAATCGTAACAGGCATTTAATTAATTATTGCATTATTAAATAACTGCTTTTCAAAGGAAGGGTCAGATGGCGTGTGGTGTACAGCCTTTACAATCTAATTTACTCATTTGCAGTGTGTTTGTCACTGCAGAAGCCAGAAATGTCTTGGAGAAGTTGGAGAAGTATGTTGACCTTTTCTCCTTTTTTTTTGCAGACACACCAGACATTCTACGAGTCGCTGTTTTCACTGGAGAATAAACCCCGCTCTCTCCAGCATCTGTGTCGGTTTTCCATTAGGAAACACTACGGCAAAGACTGCCACTTATTCATTCCATTATTGCGTGTCCCGAAATTCCTCCAGTGTTACCTTCTGTTGGATTCAGAAGGTATAATTTATTAAGGAATTCTACTAACATCAAAATTGAAATCATCTATGTGCATGGTTTTGCTACCAGGAGTTCCAAACAACTCCAGACATAACCTTGAATAATCAGTGGTAACAGTTCATAGAAATCTGCACTGTTTTCTGCAACAACTAGTCTGGGAACAGTCGTCTTGAGATTTTTCTCCTCAAGGGATTTTTCTTTCAGACTTGCGTAACAGAAAAAAAGATTGGGAAATACATATTTTTAAAACATTTTGTTCAAGCACTCTGTAAATTTTGTTTTTAAAGATTTTCACATGGCTGAACTCACCACATTCACAAGGTTAATCAACTATTATGCTCCTATCTGTTGTTTCAGAATTATCCACAAATTGTGTTAGCATTGTTTTTCAGTATTACCAAAATGTAAACATTTAAGGTATATATTGAATTCAGGTTCTGCTGTTTCTGAAAGCTTTCAATACCAAAGGAAGCACAATATTGCAATTATAGCTACTCAGTATCTTTGTATATGCCCAGTCAATTTGTGAAAATCTGTTTCAATGTTTTGAGATGCTGTGATTTCTGGAATTGTCAGATTTCTCAGTCTGACACCAACAGCTTGTGGGCAGAGCTGTGCAAAGTTTAAAGGCTGTGTAAAGGTTTTATAACTTAACTTCCTAGCTGGACAGGACTGAGACACTGAACATTAGCCTTTGCATGTTCCATGTTGCAGACTGAGCTATTTGACCAGATTCCATTGTATCATACCCTTCATGAAAAGCATACATTCTGCTTACCCATGACTGTCACTGAACAACTGCACACAAGACTAAGACTGGACCCCAGAGGAATTCCTTTACAGACCGGTAAGACTGTTTACAAGGCCTTGACATTCTGTCTTGCATATTCTAGTAATCAAGTATAATTTCTCTTAATGAGCTAAAATAGTTTTTGTGTATTACAGGTAAGGTTATTCAGAATAATACTGCAGAGGTCTACTACTTCATCTTTTTTATCATAATGTTTTAGGATTCAGATTTTAACAGATATATCGCCAGTCAATCTTCAAATTACACCTTAAATCCTGTAGGTGGCACTGTGAGATAAAATGACCAATGCAATTGTAAAGCCTTGAAGAATGGACTTCCCTGTACTTCCTTTTACAGTTCCATTTTGATATGGTATGCACAGCAGAAAATAACAATTACAGTAGAGTGCATTATTTCCTTTTGATACTTTTTTTTCTGAAAATAAACACTCTTAAACTGAAATGAACATAAATGCTTTCCTTCCACATGGGTGTTTTTACTCGTGGGAGCTTGATGCCATTCTGCACAGCGTGAAAAAGCAAAGTGCAGTTTCTTGCCATAGAAACTATCCATATTCACAATACTTCTTATATTTGTTTATTTATGCAGTGTGCAAACTTTTTTTTAAAAATGAACTTGCTCTCTCATTCTGTGTTCCACCCATGGGTATCTTGCTACTACATGAAAAGGACATTACCATGTTAAGCGTTTAACACATCTTGAACCTTAATATTTTTAGCAATAATGATTAAAATAAGTATAGTAATGGAGAAGAACAGTCCTCTAAACTGCCTGCTTGCTTTACTAAATTAAAAATATCCCATTATTTTTATTACCTTCCTTTTATGCTTTGCACTCCTATGCTTTCTTCAGAGTGATGCGTGAAGTAAGAGCCTAAGGATAAAATCAGTTTAGGCACAGGAGAGAAAAAGATTGTTCCTCACTTACACGGGGCTTTTGGAATTTTACCTATATTGTAAAGAGCATAGTGGAATAGAAAGTGGAATAGATGGTAGTAGAATCACCCTGTGTTTTCTCCACTTTGCTATTTGGCCAAAGCAGACTGAAAAAGAATGGGATGACGCAGTTCAAGTAGGGAGCTGCATCAGACTGTGTAGGCTGCAAAGGAAAAAGTAAAGGTTTATTCCATGCTGAAAAGAGAAGAAAAGAAATGCAACATTTTGGTTGTGGAGCCTTCTTTGAATGGGCTGTGGTTTGTTGCTTACATGGTGTTAACTGCTTGAAATACAGAGCAAGTGATATAAAGAAACAGCTACAGTATTATGTCATAGTAAGGTAAATGCATTTCCTCAATGAGGCAATCAGTAAAGAAAAAAATATGAAAAACAATATTTACTGAACAGTCTGCAAAAATATCTTCAGATGTATCAGCTCAGTTATACTAACCTGCATTAAAATGCTAAATTGCATTTCCAGTGTTTTATACTGTATGTTTTTTTATCGTTTAGAATGAGACACAATAAAGCTTTTAATTAACTATGAAAGGCTATTTTATTTCAAAGAAAAGAATATTACCTGCCTGAATCCCTCATTCTTCAATGTCCTGTGATTGCTGCTACAGTCATTACTGTTCACATGATATTAGAACAGAAAAAATCAGCCAGTTACATAAAAAATAAAATAAAAAAGTCATTTGTTGTTATATTAGAGTAATGAATACAACACTAGTGATAATACAATACAAGTTATTGGATTGCATACATTTGTAGATTATGTTTAGAACTATTTAACAGCCATTGCTTTAAGTTCTGAACAAAATACTTTTTTTTTCTTTTTTTTTTTAAGAAAGAGCAATAGCCTCAGTTATGTTGTGAGCAGTGCGTGCAGGACAGTGAACCTGCCTTGGCTCTTCACTTGGCTAACGATAGCCTCAGGGTTCTGATTTCTGATCGTCTCCAGTCTTTTAGCATCAATAAAATATGATGAATTGGGCCATATCTTACTGCAATGCTTTAGCGTAAGCCTTTCCAATTTTCTTAATTGTATATTTAATGCTAATTTAAATTGTACACAATGCAACCTTAAAACAATAAATGGAAGATTGGGGGCAGTAGAGTAAATGCACCCAGTAAGCATTTCAAAAGAGAGAGTGCTGGACAATCAGGCAGTCTGTTACGGACCACTAGCCTTTTTAAAGCAAGAAATGAAATCTTTTCTTGACTTTAGAAGCTGTCTTTGGTGGCTTCGCCCAGTGATCTGGTCTGAACAACAAGTGAAGCCACTTAGCATGTGAAGGCATCATTCGGATTTTAGCTGGATTTGAAAAACAATCCATGGAGTACACCACCCCTCTCATCAGACTTGTCCTTTCCTCTTACCTTCATGGCAAGGTGAGTCCGAAGCTGCCCTAGAACTCTAGAGCACCTTCAGTAATCCCCTGTTAAGAGCCCAGAGATAGTTTTACAAAGAATACAGTGAAATACTGGTGAGAAAATAATAAAAACAACATCTTTTTCGACAAGACAGCTCAAGGCTTCAGGGCGAAGCTGACACTGGATCTTTCCTTAGAAGGCAGTCAATATTACTGGGAAGACAAAAGGAGTGGCATTGTCTACTACTCGGTGAAATTTCATACTAGTCAATGAAAGTATTTCAGCATGTGTTCATTTATGGAGTTATATGCTTTTAAACGTCGTGAACGTGAACTGACGTTGTGTCATAAAACCCAGAGAAATCACTTATATATTACTGCATTATAAAGGTAAGACTGTTTTAGACTTCATGTGAGGGGTTTGGATTATGAGCCTTCGGGACCCGTTGTTTATCAACATCCAGAGCAAGCCCGATAATCCTACACTTTAATCCCCTCCCCTACTCATATACCCTTTGGTTGGTATTGATTTTCATTATCATATATGATGTGGGCAATCAGAAGTGACTATAAAAATAACATGAGAAATCAATACAGTTTTCTTTGAGCACCTCACGTATCTTGAGTGCTGAGAGCTGAAGGCAGAGACAGGCACAGTAGTGCAAGCATGTCTACCTCTGTAACAGATGTGACTGCGGAAACAAGCAGAAGTGAGAAATCTATTCAGCGAAGATCAGTCACAACTTTAAGGCTTCACCAATCCCATAATAAGCTACGTCATTTAAAAAAGACCATTTAAGGCTTAAAATGTAATCAGAAAAACTTCAAATAGAAATGGGGGGATATTGTTTTAGTTGCCTATCAGCTGTGTGATGACTACTCTAAGCTAAATCTCAGACAAAATAAACTACAGGTGGTAAATTACCGAAGTAGTTATACATCTCGAAAGTATTAATGTAAAATACTATTGAATAATACTACTGAACAATGTAAATGGAACTGACTGGATGGTGGATGTTACAAGTCTAGTTTTCAGCACTCAGGTTTGTTTGGCGCAGAAAAAATATTGACTATTGCTGTGGTATATAACAGGACTATCGCAGATATAATGTAAGACAACATTCAGCATGGTTGTGCTCTTCTGCCTTCAGGTGAAAGGATGACAATAATGCTGAATGAATGTTGCCTCACTTGTAATGAACAAAAGGAATATCGGGACAGCAGGAAGACTAGCAGGAGGTCCATGGTGTGCTCTCTCTGACTAGATTCCTGCTGCGGATCCAGTCTGATGGTCTGATTTGCCACCTGAAAGTATCATACTTTGTCCAGCATAAGGAATACATTGGAATATCCTGTATTTGGAGTGGCCTTTTTATAATATTATTAAAATAGCTATTTTAAATTGTTCTAAAAATACAATGCAGCCTCTATTTTTCATTCAAAGCAATTTAATGACAAAAAATACTTGTTCTTAATGCCATTATAAATAATTTCAAGCGACATTTCAATAAAGCATTCTCAGTACCATTACCTATTATTATTATCATCATCATTATTATTATTGTTGTTGTTGTTGTTGTTGTTGTTATTCGCATTATTACTGTTGTTGTTGTTGTTGTTGTTGTTAATACAAGGAGGAAGAAAGGGTATCTTGAGGTTTTACTGTAACTCATCTTTAAATATGCACCTTTTCCACACTTCTTTTCCCAATATAATGAATGATCATGATAGCTAGCATGCAGGATAGGTTTAATTAAATCATATTCCAATCATAATGCATGTTGTTAATTAAACTAGATAATTTATAAGTACAAAGGGGGGTATTTATTAGCTGCTCTGCAAGGGAAATACTGCAGTGTAAAGACACCCCCCTTCTACTTCTTACTATTGATGCCCCCAAATGATTGATAATGAGACAGTGCCTGCTATACTATTTGTCTAATGGCTGTGCAATTAAATTCTCTTGTAAATGACCCATGCCTCATTTCATCCTAATCTATGGAATTTTGATTGAATTCGTCAGCTCTAATTGAAAAATACTGCTATTTAATGTCTGCATTGCAGTTTTGGATCAGGATGAGTTTAATGAGATGATGTCCCAATGACCCTGTAGATGGGAGAGGCACGATATATGCCCTTGATTTTACAGTGAGTGGGGGCTGGGGTGAAAAAGATAGGTTAGGTCTCGGAATTGAAATGGGTTGAAAAGGTGGACACCAAGTAAACACAGTAATGTGTGTGCAGTATGTCGTCTGTCATAATACTTTATATTGTT